TAAGGAAAGAGATGAGGTTACTTTTCCTTATTTTTGTAATAGCCTGGTTTCATCCATCGGTTTATTCAGGTAAGATGTTTATCGCTGATATACCTGCTGTCGTAATTAACAATAATTCTACTTTATCTATGACATGGACTGTTTATAAAGCCCAATATTCACTGCAAAGGGGTTAACGTATAGTTTATTTTTCTTGACATCAAAAAAATACTAATTGATTTATGGATTCATTGACTGATCTGTTGACGGATTGATTGGCTAACCGTAGATGTCAGAAATCCTTCCGAGTCACATAAGTCTGCGTGGAACCTAAAACAGGTCAACAGGATCCAGTTTTGTGTTCACACCACTCATAGTGAAGTTTTGGATGATTGGAGCATTGCATTGTGGTGAACAGTCCTATTCGATCGAGTCTTGTTGTTCTTACGCCAGTATTTCACATTTTAAATACAGATCTTTGTTCAATGTTTCACATCCTCGTTAATAGTCGTCATAATCTTCAAGGTGTGAGAATGTTTTCATCTTCTGTTTTCTTTTATTTCAGCTCCATTTGACGTTCGCATTGGAAGAGGTAAAGATTGCTCACATTTGGTTCAATGTGTGTAATTAAGTGGAATAATTTGATAATATTACATTCACGATAACTTGGTTTTTCTTTATTGTACCTTCCTTTGCTTTCATTGTTTTTCAAACTTATGAAGATCGTGTCTTTAACGCAGGGCTTGCACTAAGACTTCATAGAAGGCAGGTTGCATATCAAGGTGAGCAATTATCTTGGGTTGTATTTGAAAGTAAACGTGACATCTGATTGGTAAATTATCATTTATCGTCGTTTGTGAATAGAAGCAAACCAGTAGTTCTTATGTTTATTTCAAGAAATTATTTCTCGTATTATTTTTCATAGGATATCCAGGTTATCCAGAGTACACGTCTACCACGTCACAACAGACATTCAACCAGAATGTTGCAACACAGCAGACAGGCGTCACATCTTCACGTAAGTACAGCCTTCCTTTTGCTTGTTTGATCAGGAGGAATTTCGGCCTCCTTAGAAATTTGTAAAACCACAGTCGGAAATGCGTTAAGACAGCTTATGTCTTTGGTTTATATTTTCTTCTTCTTCTTCTTACATATTTTAAACATTGCTTTTGTTTTGTAGCATTTCAGCTTTTAACAGTAGATCTTAAAAAAAAATTCACACATTTTCAACCCGGAGGCTTCGCACAACTGATGCATATTCAGAATTATGGACACCCTTAAAAACTAGTAGGAAGCTTTAAGACTATCACAAACACTTTTATAACGAGATTTATCTTGAGTTGCTTTTTAAAATAGAAACCTTGAGCTCAGCTGATTTGAACGGCAGTCCCGGAGCGACGGTTGCCTCAACTCCGACAACGCAGACAGGACAACAGCAACTAGCAACCCAAACTGGTGCTCGGGTTGTCCCAGTTCAGAACATCTATCACACTTCCTATTCTTCTTTGTCAGCTGCTGAAAATTCATATCTTAAAAACAGCTCTTCTGCGCAAGATGTGACACAATCATCAGGAAATTCATACAAAAACAGTTCAGCAGCTCCAGTTGACACAAATTCAACCCTTGGCGACAGTTACCCTGTATACTATGTGTCAAGCTATCAAGAGCCAACTATACAGCAGCCGATTTCACAACCTACATCAAATGCAACGACAAATCCGCCTTCTTCCTCATCTACACTAATAACTTCATCATCTGCACGTAATAAAGATAATTATCCAGTATACTATGTCACGAGTCCTAACGACGAAAGCCAACAGACACCTGGAATCAGCGATAACAATTCGATCCTCGAGAAATCAACAAAAACCGTCTCTCTAAATAATGATACTGATAGTTATCCTATCTATTATGTGAGCAGCTATAACAATGCCACCACTCAGAAAACACCAGCTCAGAATATAACAGCTGGTTCAATCAATGGAACTGATACGTCTGACAATTATCCTGTTTACAATGTGGTCAGCCCTGAAACGAGTAAGGACGGTTTAAGAGAACCATCAAATAGCAAGGTTCCCGACTCACCCGTTACTTATGAAATAATAAATACCACGTCAACTTCTAAACTGAACGGTAACAATTCTGTTCCTTCTTCAATTCCATTCAATAATACCCAGTCTACAGCTAGTAGCAGTAACTATCCCTCTGCTTCCACATCAGCGCCGGCATCACCACCAGCAAATAGTGCCTATAACTACTCATCTTATCCTGTGGCTCCTGCTCCCTACAGTACAGGCAGCACATCATCCCCTGCAAGTGCTCCTTCTCCAGCAACCTACCAAGGCTACGGAACACCATCAACCTCAGCATATCCAGCGCCAGCGCCAGCTCCATATCCTGCGCCAAGCTATTATGGCTACTCAGCCAGTCAACCATCTGCATCACCATCAACAGTTCAGTCACCTGCACAGCCTTCAAATAACTCGTACGCTTCCACATCTCAAGCTCCAGCCCCAGCCCCAGCCCCAGCCCCAGCCCCAGCCCCAGCCCTAGCTCCGGCTCCGGCCCCAGCCCCAGCACTAGCTCCATCTTCTTCGTCTCCATCGACCATACAGACATCTGCACTGGCTTCAACCAGCTCGTATATTTCCACAAATCAGTCCTCAGCCCTTGCACCTGCTCCAGCACCAGCTCCACCTCCAGTTCCTGCTTACCGTCAGACTCCAGCTCCAGCACTGACACCAGCTTCAGCTCCAGCTCCAGCTTCAGCTTCATCTGCATCTTCCCCTCAAATCACCGGCGTGTCATCTTCTCCTCCTCCTCTTTCATCAGAAGCCGAGTCCTCCTATTCTTCAGCTGGAGATCAGACGTCTTCTTCTGTTCAAGTCTTGAACACTCCTACCTCCCTCTCTAACCTGAGCTCACAAGAAACTCTCAACTCAGAATACGAAAACGCATCATATGTCATCGCCACCCCTCCTGAGAAAGAAACGATTATGTTTCTTCCTTCTCCTTCTTTTCCCCTGTCTTCACAAGCCACAAAATCAGCAAGTTCTAAAAACGCAAAAAGTTCATCTTCCAAACAAATGAATCAACCATCTCTGTTAAATGCCACTATTTCTAAACCCCCAGCTCTAGCCAATACAACAGAGATCACTGCCAATCCCACTTCTAAACCACAAGTGCCTCCACCGGCTATAAACAATACCAACACGCAACAAACCTCAAATGCTTCGCTGTCAGTCGTGCCCCAGAACATCAGTTTTCCTGCTTTCAGAAATATGACGGACATGTCTAACACATCTTTTGGTGAACCAAGTTATAGCCCTCTGCCAGCTCCAACAGACGGACCAATAATCGAGATACCATTATCTCCTGAGGAACAATTTCATTCGCCTTCGGTAGTCAAGACGAAACCGCCTCCATCGCACTTACCGACAAAGCCTCCCCCTGCGGCTCATTCTGTGCTAGTCACGACAAAACCTCCTGCGGCTGTTGGAGCTCATGCAACTGCCAAACATAAGGCGAATGAGTTGGGCTTTGGCGACAAATATTTAGGTATGAAAATTTTGCTCCTATAACTTAATCTACCCTTTTTTCGGAATTTTTATTATATTTTTGGGTTTTTACAGCCCCTAAATAAACGTGCTTGCCATAGGAACGTAATATTCGACGATTATATTTTGTAAGGCGGAGATAAAAATTTTTAATGGAGTATATATATGTCTATTTTTTTAGATAGGTAAACCGTAAGGTCTTTTGACTTTATACTGTATGTCGATTTTATTAGAATTATTCAGACAAATTTGCAATAGTAGTTCTTTTTTTTTTGATAAAGGATTGCTATGAAAAGAGCGGCAAGCACAAAATAATAGTGAAAAAATCCAATCTAAATGCCTCTATGAATTTTTGTTTTATTTTTTTGGTTTCTACAGCCTCTCAAAATAAACGTGCTCGCCATAGGAACGTAATATTCGACGGAATCGCCGGAGACAGTCAATGTAAGTATTTCAAGAACACAAAATTGAGACAGTAAGAGAACTTTCTTCTCAAATTTGTTCTCAAATAAGCTTTGTGCATGGGTTAGAGTAATAACCATGGACGATTTGCAGTCAAACAATATGACAGTTCCTCTTGGTTTAAGAGTGATAACCTTGATGTGGTTCTCTCGAGTCGAATAATCTCGTTCTTACAGTCACACTTAAGGATTCGCGAGCATTTCCATTCCTCGTCCTGCCATATTCATTACCATATGCCCACATCGATTCTTTTCCTTTCGTGCAGAAGAAAATCCTTCTCTCCCCAACACCTCATAGATTGGCATAAGAGCAGTACTAGGGCGTCATATAAGTTCCATTGCAATGGTTAATCCGTGATATACAGAGTGATGCACATACAGTGTGTCCATCTCAAATTCCTTTCGTCCGCATTTTTGTTATAGTAAATAAACATAAACTTTCTTTTCATCCTATCAGCCTTCAGCAACTATCAAGTATTCAGTCAGCATGATGTATTCTTCCCAAGAAATGGTAGGAAACGAAGAAATGTACCCGTTACTTAAACCTGGTGACTGAAAAGTGTGGATGATTTACCGCAGGTCAAACGCAGGAACAAGTATTTTCAATGGGAATCTTAAATGCTCAAAAGCAACCGCCACGTTTGCAAAGACGTAGAAAATAAGCATTGTAAATAACATTTCTCATAATATATGTTTATATATCTCTTCCAGTATTCTAAAGCGAATCCGGGATCTGATTGGATGCAGTCCCAGCTATTTATTAGCTCAGAGAGCGGAAAAAAAACTCAGGTTTTCGCTAATAAACATTTAGTAATAGTCACTACTAACCCGCTTTTGGAATACAGTACTTGAGAGAAAAATGGGAAAAACTTAAAAAGTTTCTTTCGATTTCAGTTCTCTTCCTGATTAGAGCTAGGGAGAAAAAATTAATTCGAAAACGTTTCGGTAATATAATTCTATGTTTTGAGTCATAGTCACCAAAGGAATTTGACGACTAACAGCATAACTCTATATATGTTTATTCCGAAATCTTTCTGTTCAACGATTTTACGAATGTTAAGATATCAATGAAGCAAATTATTTTCGTAGCAACCGTTAAAGTTGAAACACATTCAATGGTAAATTCTGATTCATGAAGCACTTTAACCAAGTGCTTCCTTGGGACGTGTAGACTGTAACAAAGCTCTGTTCATCTTTATCAAGATACTCTGAATGTAAAAGATGAATTATCTGTTCCGAAATGATGTATTTCTCTGAACAGATGTTAACAAATGTATAACCTGTACAAGACGATCTCAGTAAATCCCCCATTACATTAGAATCTCGTCTATGGCTGCCAAACCCCTATTCGTATATTCCATTCTGCTTATCGAGAAGATTCTGCTAATCAAAAATTCAGGGGAAATTTTCCTGTCCCACAAATGAGCTTCACACATAGACAAAATTTAATTGTTTCAATATTTTAAGTTCTTCCTTTTTCGATTGCGCCACATTGGTTAACCCATGCATTTCCTGGTCATTAAAGTTGTGATATATTTGAACCAGTCTCCATAAATAACAAAATAAGGTTGTTTATTCTATCTCCCTTTGTCAGAAATTTGATATGTACATGTATACATAGTTCAGACATCACTTGTTGTGGCCACGATTATAACTCATTCATATCAAGCGATTCGTAGCTTCTTCTTTAATGTTTCCCTGTAGGCAAGACAGTTCAAAATATATTAAAATATGTACTTAAATCAATGTTGTGACAACCATACATCACCAATCTTAAACGCAGAGTTTTCTGTATTTGATGTTAGGTTTAAAAATTGGGGAGTATTACTCGGGTATATCCTCGGATATCCTTCAGTTTTATCTGGGAGATTTAAGTCACGGGACACGTTTAGTCCAATCGGGCGCGAGAAAAAATATTTCTTGTATCATGATGGGTTTTATCTTAGAGGTTTATTTATAACCTTGTTAGAGGTAGTATTCTCTTGGTATGTGGCGTTAGCCAATTCTATATCACTATATTTCACTCATTATTGTATTTATGGTTGTACACCGTTTGGTTTCTTTATCGTACTTAATTGATTCACGTTACAACCTATTCATTTCCCCCCTAATCTTAAAAAAGATAAATAGAGGAAAAGGGGGGAGCTGCAAGTAAGAGAATCTAAAACCTAATGGCAATTTGTTATTACCCAGTTTTTGTCTCCTTCTCTTCCGCTGATCTTTTGTTGTGGTTAACCAAAATGTGTTGCCTTGTGAGCACCGTGCTGCTTCCGCCTACAGAAAAGAGATAGCCACAATGTTGCGTTAGGCACTCAACAAAAGCAGAGTGCAATAAGTGTACTACGCGTAATAACCGAATAAGCACTGAAAGATTTTTGATGATTATTTCAAAAGCGAGCGTTAATTTTGACTTGGTTAGGCATCACGGGATAACTGTTTTACTCAAACCGAATATACTGACTGTCATGTTCATGTTGCAATCAATCGCCTAAAAAAGGACCTCCGGCTTAAATCATAGTCAAATAGCCAGTGATGGTTAAGCCAAACAGAACTCTAGAATTTTATTTTGGATCTAGTTATCCTATAAGATCTTACACAACATCAGGTCTACCACTGCCGTCAACCAATCAGACGAAGAATGATAACCATTGGTGTGTGGTCGCCCTTAGTTCGGTTCAGTCGAGGCAGTGTATTCTCACGTATTCTCTTTGCTCTGATTGGCCAATCTGGTTAGATTGGTTTTATTGTTACTACACCAATCAAAATGCGCTCTCACATACTTTGTATAAATGCAGATTTATTTTCTTACCGTAAGGATCTCCACCAACAGAATCAAAATAAACATTGCGGTGTCTTGCAGCATAGTTTAACCTCGCTGTCGACAGAATCATCATTATTCACACCAATGTTAATGATGAATTTCATCAATTAGCGGAAGAGGGAGTCAGGGGTAGCATAAATAAGTTTTTTATCACCTCTGAATGGTTCAGGCCAACATCTAGTTAACTTAAAAGCAGTAACTGCACAAATCCCTTACCAATGCCATCTCTCTTCACGGCTTCTGGGACGTTTGAAGGACTGGATTGAACCGCTGGATAATATTGACTGGTGGCTCCGGCTATAAAAAAAAAAAAGAAGGACCATAAGATAAGAACTAATGTCCATTACTGAAGGCTTTGATCTTTAGTTGGCTTTTTCTAAAACGTTAAACACAACTTACATGAATCTAACTGTATTTGTATCACCATGACAACTCACTCTGAAAGTGAGATTTATTGCTTAATACTCCCCTTGAATTATTGAATTACTTAAGTACTCACGTGCTGTTGATAATTCTCCTAGTGAAACAGATCTTCTCTTTTTGTGATTAACGGCAATATGTGAACGAGACAGAACAGGGCTACTGTGACCTGTTTGTAAAAGGGGTAAGAAATATGAGTGATATTTAACTCTAGACAATAATCATGCTTATGATATATTGTGGTACCCTTCAAATGATGTTTTTCGATGATGCAGCTTATTTTTTGACTTAACGTGGCCCCTCGGGAAATGATAAACCATCTGACTGACACTATTCGTTATTCTAATGAAGAATGAATAGACGACCCCACGAAGAATCCACTTAAGCACATATCATGGCACACAAATGGCAACCTCTAGTCCTTCTCCGAAATTGGCAGTGATCTAAAATCAATTTTAGAGGGCAGTACCTATAGGATAAGGTTAACAATGCCTTGATCACCTATTTTTAGATTCTTGCAACATTTGTTTGGAAAGTTTTTAGGGCTAAAATTTACGCCTTTTACTACCAAATGAAGACTGTAGTTAAGTTCGTATTGAACCTACCGTATGGATCTCCTCCAACAGTGTCGAAATACACATTGCGATGTCTGGCGGCTTGATTTAGTTGTTCTGCAGCATTAAATAAACGCAAAATGTATCAGAGGAACTAAAAAAAGTTCGATACCGCCTCTATAGTTATGAAAAGCTTTTGCCCTTCATATCATATTAATAATTTACGCCTATACATTAAGAAGGCCCCGTCTTGCGAATTCTTACATTAAGACTCGTCCTGAACCTGAGATGGGTTTCTGAAAACGTTTCTCGCCTATTTGTGATTTTTCTTTCGCTACAAAAATCAAGTGACAAAGATCAGACAGCAATATAAGCGAAAAAGGCCTACAATCATACCAATAGTGTATCTTTTGTCATCAGCTGGGTGTCTTCCTCCGGTTATTTGCTCTTCAAAGAAAGCGGAAGGGAGCTGACTACCATCAACAGTTTGAGCTAAAAGGGTAAATAAATAGAATTCAAATTTTTAAAAAAATTAGTAATACCTCGATTAGTTCTCTGATCTGAAGAGTGTGTCAAGCGATCTAAGGAACTATGCCCAATGACGCAATCCAGTGCGAAGATTTTCCCGTCTCTTAGTTTCATCTCTCCAGTTTAAACCATATACGCTTAAAATCATTTACATGTATAAAACCGATTCACCTGATTCGAGTTGAGTGAGTGATCTCTTTTTCTTGTGATTGACAGCAATATGTGAGCGAGACAGAACTGGACTACTGTGACCTGTTTCATGGGTGCAAAAAAATGCAGTATTGATGATAAAGCAACTTTATTTCATTCCGTTTAGTAGTTTTGAAGAAATAATATACCTGAGAAACTTTCTCACCGTTTTTAGCTCAATACATATAGTTGGTTCAAGTTAGCAGTTTAAATTGAAAGTGATTCACTCACCATACGGGTCTCCACCAACGGTATCGTAGTAAACATTGCGATGTCTCGCCGCTAGGTTGAGTTGTTCTGAGGAAAAGTTTAAGTCAAAAGATATCATATCGTAAAGATAAGAGATGTAATAGTAAAGAGTTATTGTATGGCAATATCAAAGATTTTTAGGTACCAATTGTGTATCTCTTGTCGTCATTTGGATGTCTTCCTCCAGTGATTTGCTCCTCAAAGAAGGCTGAAGGGAGTGGATTTCCAATGGTCTGACCTTCAAAAAGAATAAACGTGTTTCAGGGTATTTGGATGTTGCAATTGTCGTGATTTACGTGATTCGAACTTACTTGCTATCAAGCTTGACCCATTTTCGTTTAATTTCTTGGTCAGACGAGCATGAATTGTTCAAACGTCTACATGCAGCTTCTACTCTCGTGGAACGTACGACGAATTTCCCCATGTTTAAGGCACAATGATATACAAAATACCTACCGATATTTGCAGGGTCCGCTATTCCACTTTTCTTAAATTCATTCATTCCATTTTGACCGGCGTAGGGTATTTCCAAACCTGAAGAAAATGATTTTTTATGAGCTCGTAGTTTTTAAAAAGGTGGCTCGGTAATCGGAATAAAAGAATATTGCAATTGAAATGATACTATCTCCTGCCGTGTATCAACATCAGTCTAATAAAGATCTAAGAAATTTTGAAGTTAACCTTTACTGAATTGAATTTATAAAAGAATTAAAATGAAATAAATCTCAATTCTCGAGATTTTGGATTTTCATCTTCGTCCAGTGACTGCATTTTGTCTGGCATTTCTTCCCTTCGTACCTTTGCAAAAGGCAACAGCTCCACACAATATGCTGATAATGGGTATAAAACTCCCCATTTTGGCGTACCTGTTAGTATTGGGAAATGAAAATGAAGTTAATATTTGAGGTCAAAAGCTATTTCTTTGGTTGGCCCCCCCACCCCCCCCCCCCCCTTTCGCTCACCCTCAACTTAGTCTTCTATCTTTCTTTGTGTTTTTTTTTTTTTTCATTGCCGCTAATTTGCCCCACGAAATCATGTCCTTGACAGATACCAATCTTTAAAAAACAATATGACAAACGTACGATTATTACTATATGAAGTATGTTAATTTTGAATTGAAAATCGTATTTCCATAAAAGCTATAATAACTTTAGTAACCAGATAAGGCCCTTAATAGTTTCCCCGAGTTGCGTAACCGTCCAGTGTGTGAATCTGCTTCTTAGTAATCAGTCCTGTCGGTAAGTTAATGTCTAAAAAATCTAGCAAACACTTCCATAAATTATGTAACATCCTTGGTAATTTAACACACAGCACTTAAGTTAGAAGAAATTGGCTGTAACCATACGCCGATGTCTGTTTTCCTATATGAATTTATTGTCGTTTCAGCGACGTTTTTCCGAGTTTCAGACGTATCTATTTATCCCCCATTTACTTATATGTTGTGTTACGATGGTTTTCTTTGCATAAACACAACAGTACCAGACATACGGGTAATTTGCTTATCAAGTAGTCACTAGTAAGAACTGAGGTCTGCAAACATACATGAATAGACCCATTCAGGAGCTTTAAATATGGATCCATAATTTCGATCTTCTCCAAGCTGTTTAGCATATACTTATTTCCATAATAAGCTTTGAAATTAGGATCTCATCGGAGAAAAATAAGGGTCTTTCTATCCATGATGAACAATTCTTACTACGGACATTATATCTCACCAAGCAAAACTAGAACAACCCTGTTGGTGTAGTTCAATTTGACCATTCACCAAATACAATTCATTTCGAGATTGTACTTAAGAATACAGATATCAAGTCGTGATCAGCATAACCTCTTCAAACAGACCAGCTCCTCAAATTGTTGTACCCTGTACTAAGCAAATAATTGGCGGAGAACATATCGCCATTTATAGACTTAGTCTCCGGGATGCCGTTATTTTTAGTTCCTCCTGTATCTCTATGATTTGTGATTAAACAACAAAATATCCCATGGAGACAAGAGATTAGGTCTGAATGAATAAAAGTATAATAGTAAAACATCATGTGTAATTAACGGCCATAACAGCATTTATAAAATTCGGACAGTCCAATATTTACAAGAATCTAGTTACCGATTCAATTTAGATTCCTTCTCAATGACAAACAAAAATATGAATTCTTCTGCTAATCACTTACCAAGTGTTGTCCGTTTCAAAATTATAGTCAGCGAATTCCAACTAATTTTATGTTAGGATTTCACACGAGAAGAAACTCGTCCAAAGATCTGTTGATGCTCCAAGGCGGACCGTGTCGATGTTGGTTTCATCATGGTGGCTTACCACAAGCAAGCTTTCTTATTGGTTGTGCCTTAAACTCCTGTCAAACAGGTACCACGTATGATGGGTCAATAATATCAATATCCTTGTTTGAAAATGACGTGTTTGTAAATCTTTCGTACACTGATTTTCTCTCCTCAATCCCTCTCGTTCTCTCTAAGGGGTAAATAATTTCTTGAAATCTAAACTTTGTAACTTTCGCTCGCAGCTACTTTCCAATTTTATAAACTGTCGTTTCCTATCGTTTGTACAGTTAATACAGATAATTTTCGGTCGACTGTTCAGTTGTGTTTCGAGCAGTAAGACACTTCGTTAGGTTGCCTCTCTATTGACGCTATACCACTTGTGAAAAAAAAAGTATTAATAACGTTTCAAAACTTAATAAGGTTCACACTTTCAAAAAATTACGAAGTTGACCATAGTACTACGTTTAATGTGGTTTGACCTTAGGGCAATAGTTTTGACGTCCTTCTTCTGATGGTGTTTCGATTTTCTCGGAAAAAAAGATTGTAGGAGCTATGAAACGTTTTTTGCATTTTCAAAACAGTAAAATACATTTGTTTTCCTCTTTTCAGGGGTTGGTGCATCCCCGTCAGGTTCCTTTTTGTTTTGTTTTTCTTTATTCGTTGTAGTTTCCTCACATGGAAGATAATTTTGAACGACGGTACATGATCCTCTAAGTTAGATAAATGTTGCAAACTGAATCCTAAAGTAATGCAGACTGAGATCATTACATTATGCCTCCTGTAAATGGATCATTATTTTCTTGGAGTACGTGAAACAATCCTATCCGCTTTAGAATGAAGCTGGGCCAGAACCCGCAAAAGTAAGCATGAAATACGATTTTTTTGTGCATGCATGCAACTTTTCTGTTTTGGTTTTGCTTTGTTTTTGTGCTTGTTTTGTGTTTTACATTTATTTTTAATTGCATCATTCTTATAAAAAATCTAGAACTAGTTTGGGTTTACGCACATTGTAATATCCGGTCTTGAAACAATGAGAGCGTAAAAAGTACGCTTGGATCAATGATACAGGATAAAGCGGTTAAGTAATTAAGTTCCTATATATTTACACTACTTGTGTCTTTATTGAATTTTTTCCACTTAAGTAAAAAGAACTTAAGTAAAACAGTTTCTGTCCTAAGTCAAAGAAATATTTCCTGAGAAAGAGGTACGTCAATCCTTGTAAAAGATGGAATTTTCTTCCAAATGAAATATAGAGATCTTATAAAACAATGTTTCATCCTGGTATCTAATGCACAGGCTTTTAAGAAATATGCATATGACCAAAGGACCAACAACCTAAACTTATTCGCACAAACCAAACCAAGCGAAAATATCCAAAATAAACCAATCTTTATTTCAAGTCGTACTTTATGTAAAGAACTAAACACCCGTTTATTAGCGTCTTTTGTTTTTGCCCTTTGGGATTTTTGTAGGTTAGTTCGTCGTGCGTGCAGAATATATTTTAGCGTGTTAGTCGAGCAATTTATTGCAATATATTCGTTAGTGTCTAAAGGACGTGTAAGCCTTTTCGGGTCAGTTTTTTTTGTTCGCTTGCCAATTCCAAGCGGTCATTTTTCGCCCTACCTTACAGTTTGTCGCCGCTCCAGTGCACTTTTTTCCCAGCTCCCAACAAATGTAAGTGTCGCTTTGGTCCAACTTTCCGTTGCATTTTAGTTCACTTTGTAACGTTCTTTTCTTTGTTTGTATTTTAGTTTTAACCGCTTTGAACAACCGCAACTACAACATCGTTTCTTAAATAAAGCGCGTTAATACAATGCTGGAGTGTTTGGAGTGTTTAGTCCACTGTTGGAAGTTATAATTTATCTCAGGTTGCAATGTGTCTAAAATTCAAGCTTGACGAGAGCGTTAAAAGAGCAGCGGTATTGTTAAATTAACCCTTTAATTCCCATGGGTGACCAAGCAAAATTTTGTCCTTACAATATAAATAGAATATCAAGTAGACAAACAATGTGAATAAAGGAATATATCAATCAAGGGATTGTTAGCTGATCCAATACCAAATTCTTCATATTAACAACATTAGAACTGTATTGCTGACCGTAAGGAGAATTGCTAACGAGATCTTTGGAGTAAAAGGGTTAAGGAAACCTCTGGCCTCATTCCAAGGTCGTGTCTTCATTTTATTTAAGACTATCTGGCAAATCAAAGTTAAAAAAATTGCCAAGATTCGCTCCGTGACCAAAATTTCAGCTAGTCGTTTATTTGTTCTGTGACGGCTTTATTATAAAAAAACAACCCAGTTTCCACCTTCCCCATACCTGCCCTTACAGTTTCTTGAAACCATTGCATTGAATAGTTACTACGAAGTATTTAACTTGTTAACCTTAAAGTGTTTTCCAACTAGCTGGCAATAAAAGAAAATTCTTAATCAAAGTATTCGTGTAAATCGAATAGATTAAGTTGAACGTCTTTCTTTAACACTGTAATAAGAACCACCGTCTTCTTGACCACTGTTTTGACACTAAATAAACAGCCGTTCATATTTACATCATAACTGCGGTACAAACTCCAGAAATACATCTAATTTCTTAGTAGAGATAAGTTAAACAACACTTTTTAACCAGGAATAAAAGCAAGTTTTAGTAAACGTTCAATGTTAAGTGGCAAAAAGTTATCATGAAAATGATCATGTGTTTGTTTCTACATGTAGCATGTAGGCTACCCCTCTGCGAAAGAGAAGTCAATTGACAGGAGCCACTCCTCAGCATTTTCACAGTTGAGAAAACGAGGCGAAACAAATAGAATCAATAATGCTACCTATTGAAGCATTGACCTAGCTATTATTCGAAGAACAAGGACTGATTGGATATGTTGAAGCACATGCCAGGAACTCAGAGACTCCACTCCAAATCAATCATCTCACAGACGTAGTCACCAAGGACGATATTGTGTATCTGGCAATCCCACTTTCGTCCACAAACGCTTCTACCAACGATAAGTTCCAAAACACAGTCGAATGTGGGATTCATTCTTAGCCCCTCTTCGCTGGCTTCAATTTTGTCATTATATCGTCAAGCGTTTCACCTGCATAACATTAAAAGAAAAGAACACTGTTTTAAACGAAGTGAAATGCGTATTTCTTTTATAATATTCTTATTTCTTCGATCTTCTTTCATTTATATGAAAATGAAATTTATTTCCTCTAATTTTGTTACTTATATCAATATCTCTTTGGATTAAACTGTTTTTACTTATCCTTTATCTTTCAGAAAATTCTGGAATTGATGTTATCCTCTGCATTAATGATTATTTACCAGAATCCCCTCCGGTGTTGTGCCTTATGAATCTCACAAACAAGCACAAACCATCTTAACTATTATTTGCAAAAGTTAAAATTACATTTTTTTAGAGCAAGAAGTGGATTACAGGACAATGAGGAACTTTGTTAAAAGGTTTTCTATCTCTGAGTTAATTTTGTTACTTGATGCCCGGCTTGTGTTCCTTTTGTTACCTGCCATTAATTAAAAATAGGTGAAGTTACTAGGATGGTGGAGACTTTACTTTTTTTGTTACTCAATTAAAGCTGATTGAATTAAGCCCTTTTAAGGAGACCTTTTACTGATCAAATCTTCGAAATTGAGGAACAAGCGAGTGAGTGGAGTTTTAGTCGATTCTGTTTTACACAAGGGGCTATAATTGTGCGTGGGTTTAATTATATAATAGGAAGCATGGCTTAAATGGAATTATTTTAATTTAACACGAAACATATTAATCGTAAAGATAATGCCTGAAAGGATGACTTTCCCGTCTCCTTGGATTGCCATCTACATCATTTCATATTTGTCTCCTCAAATAATAATTCGTTTTTACTGTTTTGATTTTTCTCGTTGTTGTTGTTGTTGTTTAGATAATTTCTGACTGCAGATAATAAAAAACTATTTTACAAGGGCATGCCGAATATTGGATGATAAATAACCAACGCGGTGTAAAGCGCCGAGTTGGCTATAACATCCTCGTATTTGGCAAACCTAAGTTGAATAATTGTTTTCGTGCACAAAAAATGATTGTACCAACTAGCTCATATTTGGTTTGACAACGACCAGGAGACAAAAGTAAAACAACAAACTTTCGCTTGCAGCAAATGTAATCGCAATATGTAAATCATTTTATGCATTTGACAAATAGAAAATTAATTTTCCTGTTACATACCTTGAAATATTTTCTTACCGAATTTTAGTGGGATTTTGGCGGATATCAAACCTACATTTGCTATGAATTCTGTTATTTCTTTAGTTGTTAGCTCTTGGGTAGACCTATTTTTTTTCGCAATCGCGTCACAGCTCGCTTTCACAGATTTTTCCTCAATTCGCTGGCGAATTTATTAACCGTACTAGTCGGAGTTAGCTTATGAGCTTGGAGCCAAGTTACAAGCTTATAACATTTCACCATTCTGCCAATCAGAAGGCTAGAAATTCAATAAACGTGCTTCAGTTTTACTTAACATTGATAACCATAGATAACAAAGTTTAGTACCTTTGGGTAATCCTGATTTTTTCATGTTTTTGTCTGAAAATGGAAAAATATTAAAATCAGTCTATTGTTATCAATGATCCAAGTTTAAAAATTTATTGTTCTTTCGTTCCGATTTTTTATCCAGCAACCTCTTAACTTAGTAAGCTATCTCTTGAGACTATGGCAACACTAGGTACTCCTGTATAAAGTGGTTAAAGCATTATATGATGTTAAAAACCCTTTCCTTACCTTTCGTTACATAACTAGTATTTTTCAGGTTGCTTATTTCTGAAGGAGTAAAAGAAGAAAAAAGAATATTGCTTAAGAGTACCAAAATAATGACAGTTTGTAGTGAGGTATTGTTGTCGATGAAAAAATCCAGATAAGCTTAGACAAACATTGATTTGGTAAATGAATTATCTTACCTTTGCTTGTTTAATGATAATTTTTTAAACTTACCATTGCTTTTTTGTTTAATATCTCTTCTAAATTTCTTTAATCCCGGAATTCTTAAACGTCTATAGACTGAAAGCAGAATGTGCGTTACTAACAAAATTACCTCTGGTATTGCAATACTACAACTATATAAATTTGATTGAGCAGAAATGAATGCGTATGGAAAAAGAACAAAAAAGGGACAACCCAAACCGTAAGCTGAAGGTGCATTTATTTGCCGGCTTCAAAAGCTGTCATTCCACGCGAGAGTAAATTTGTTCTTCAGTTCTAGTACTACTATATCGCGTTGGAGACAACATTTTAGGCAAGAATTCGCGTAACCCAATACTTTGTTATGGTTACAGTTCCTAAATACGAGAAAAAGGCTTTGTTTAAGAATAGTATGAGGCTAAACGGAAATTCTTCCCATATCTTTTTTTCGAAAAAGGTTGTTTCAGACGTCACGGCAGGGAGCTATACCCTTCAAGATGATATTCGTCCGCTGTTAGAATGTGCATTTGCTACATAATTTTAAAAGAGATTTAACCGTCGTTGATTGTTTACTGCATTATTCAGCTAGTGCTGAACCTGACCAAAGAAACATATCTTTTCTACCATATGGACAAAGTCGAAAGGGTTCAAGCTACTTACACATTTCCTGCGTTTTTCGCGGTCTTTTGAAAAAAGGTGCACTATTTTCCATAATTCGGTGCCTATCAACTGTTTGAGGACGAAGGTATTGTCCACTCATTCCGTGATATTGAAGACCCTCTACAACCAGGAGAAAAAAGGTTTTATATTACAAGACGGCAATTCAATCAACTGATACTCATCCCACGATGATTTAAAATGTTACCAACTTACCATCATCATTTTGAAGAAGACTTTGCCTTGCTATTGTCCTCGTTTCTAAATCTGGAGACAATTCCTGGTTTCCTTGTGTTGGAAAAATGAGCAAATACGGCGTTTAATAAGTCACATAAATAAAAAAAATATATTTACAAAGCTGATAAGCGAATTCAAGGACACTAACGACACTAATCAAGAATTTATTTTAAAAATATTGTTTACGATACACCATAAGCGCCGTCACCACCTACAAAAGGCCTAAATAAAGGTTAAATTACTTTAAATAATCAGCTGTCACCTCTCCTTTATGGAGAAAAAGCTTTTTTACTACGTTTCTAATTGAACGCTGAATTTTATAAGGTTCCAAATCTTAATTTAATCAGACATATGTTGCCAGTGGATTTATAAACTAATAAGTGAACACTCTTATACTGTACCTAGTGGTTCTTGAATTCCCCAGGTACTTGATCTAAAGGGCCCATTGATTCCGTCGGAAAAATATCTTTTTCCCTCAGCACCAGTTGCTTTATTACAAAGAAATAAAAGTGTACAGATTAGATTTAACAATTCCAAGGTCTATTACGACGGAAAACAAAACAATGCCTGTCGTTACCTTCAGTATTGACAACCGTGCTCTTTTTGTGTGAACCTGAAACTGATTAAGTAAAAACGCACATAATTTAATAAATCCATCTACCTACCGCTCTTTACTTCCATATCCAGCTTCTAAATATAAGTAATGTTTTTCACTGTTCAATCAAATTCAAATACTACTACTACTGCTACTACTACTGCTACTACTACTACTACTACTACTACTACTACTACTACTACTACTACTACTACTACTACTACTACTACTACTACTACTACTACTACTACTACTACTACTGCTAGTACTACTGCTACTACTACTGATACCACTACTACTACTACTACTACTACTACTACTACTACTACTACTACTACTACTACTACTACTACTACTACTACTACTACTACTATTACTAATAATAATAATAATAATAATAATAATATTAATAATAACAACAATTTTTGTCGATACCTTGGTTATGAGTGTAATAGATCGGTAATTCAGCGCCGACAGGCAGTGAGAAGAAAACTGCAATAAAATTAATATTCCGTATTTACAACGCACACAAAAATGACAAAGGTTCAGTATCATGCGCTAAGCTATCAATAAAAATCATTACCTCGGCCAGACCACATGTATCTACCACATTTACTTACTTCTTTGAATTAAATTTTTCTTTTTATTGAGCCTTCTTCCTGCAACCAAAAATAATAGTTAAGTCGGAAGAAATAAAGAAGAAATAGTCTCAGTTTTGTTCTCTTTTAGAGCGCTTGACAAATGTAATCTTTTAGGAGAACAATGACGGATCTTCACTTTGTAAGACCAAAATAAAACTAATCACCCAGGCCAGTTAGAATAATAAAAGGGTTATCTTCGTACATGTACCCGTGCAAGAATGTTTACAGTACGGATTTGCAGCTTACCATCTATAGGAATGACCGTTGACTTAAGATTTAAGCGACAAAATTTACTCAGACCGATTAAGAACAAAAAGACTTCGACGAAAATTGGCACTCGCTCAAACGATAATTTTAATCTATTATTGGGAATACGTGTCATATCAACACTTTTCTTGTATTATTATCTTACGGGTAGCTATTGAGGCCTAAAAAGCATTTATTTCATATTGACAAAGAAATAGCTATCAGTGTGTTTAACAATTCACCTTTGGCCATGCTAGTCCGTGCTGGAACATACACGTGTTTAACTATGTGTACTCTGGGAAATGGATGTGGAACTGTAAAAGTCACAAAAATGAACTGTTAAGTGAAATAACATTAAATTACGTCGAATCTTTCATCTCAAGATATGAAAGGGAAATTTTTATACCTCAATTCTTTCAATTCTGTTATAATACCTACAGAAGACTAAGAATCGAAAACAAAAACCAAAGCAATCACAACGGCCAATCAAAAAAAATCTTAAAATTATAAAGGACCAATCAGTTTAAAGAGCGTTCGACATGAAGCGCGAGAGAACGCTCCTTAATAATCATAAAAGAAGCGTGAGGTTTCTGTACCAACCACGAGGCAAAGGAAAAAAAGCAAAGACGCAACATTTTTAAATTTCTTATTCTAAAAATTCAGATCATAAAAGGATAAATTTGTAAGCTCACTTTCCCCTCGTTTCTTGTACGCTTGAACATCCGCTGGGGCAGGAGTGGGGACAACTGTAAAATGTACAATTCGGCATAAATTAGAAAATCGCTCCGACGAAGGGCTAACGCTCGAAACGTTAGCAAATACAGCTCTTTACATGCAGTAAGGAAAAAATATTTCTTCGTAAAAACCGTTTTTTAGGAAAAGTTCCTAATTACTTGCAAGGTGCTGTAATTACTTTAAGTATAATGAACAAAAAAAAGAACTCAGCCCTCAATAAATTACCAATTTGCATGGTGAAACGCTCATGATTTTTATGAAAATCTTTTCCCACCGCGCGTACTAATGCAGTTTTATAAAGCAATACTCTAATTTCTGGGGACAAAAATTACAAAAAAAAAAAAACTTTTTGTCTGTATTTGTAAGCTTCGAGAAAATCCGTGTGCGAATCAATTGCAATCCTGCAGCTCGGAAAAAGCGCGCTTTTTGAAAGTTTTTAAACCCCCCTTGTTCCCCCTTTTTCCCTAGTAACTACTTAACTCATTGGAAATAAATATTTGGCACTATGTTTTGAAAAAACTCACCAGATCTGTCCCTCCAATTTGGAGAGTCTTTCCAAGAGACCATTCCATGGGCACCCTTGACGAAAACTTGAACTTCAAATGAAATAACAAGAACTCCTAAATTTCAAATCCAGTTTCAAATTAAACCAAGAAAATTTGCCTGTTGTAAGTACCTGCATAGCAAAATCCACAGCTCCAAATCAAGAAGAAAGCTGCCAGGTTGGACACTCTTTGCATCTTGGGAAGAACAACGAAAACTGTCTCTAAATGAAGCAAAGTATTAACATTGAAATACAAACATTGGAAAAACCTAGAATGCTCACACACATGCGTACTAGTATAATAGTAATTCCCAAATGTTAAGAAATGCAGCGTCTAACTCACTGAGAGTAGCACGTGCAAAAATTTAACCTGGAAACCTCAGTCATTCATTCAGTTGCACTGTCCACGCAGCTAAGAGAACCACGAGACAGCAGGAAAGCTGAGTCGGAAACAACAGCATATTCCGAGCAAAAAATTTCAATAAGGTAAGGTAAGTATTGTTTACTGAGGATTGCCAGATATTACACACACCTTATGATTGCATTTGTTCATGCTAACAATAATATAGATTTATCCATTTTCTTGGCACAATAACACTAACAACATTTTTGAACTTGAAAAAGCAGGAACATTTTTGTCTAAAACACTTATAACTCTCACTCATAATTCTAACTGTGGAATTCTGATGATGTCGATATTTCAGTGAGTCATTTATTGTCGATAAGCGTGCTAAGAGTTACATCCCACGATACATTGATAAGTCATGCATGAAATATGTCTGCCGGTGTGGAAGAGACGAAAATGTCGCTTAAAATTGTTTATATTTAATTCGTCCTTGGGGCATTCTACCAAATGTAGTCTATTCTCTTGAAATATATCATTACTTTGTCACGATACGTCTATGAACGATAAAGAAACTATATCTCTAAACTTCTAAAATTTCCATGGTCATGAACAGGTTCTAGTATGTTAAAACAAACAAACGAGAACATCTACATAAAAAGTCTTTCCTAAGAACTACAGACAACAGACAAACCTTCCTTTGAGTGGTTCGCTATTTGAATTAAAACTTTGATGTGCGTACTTCGGCTAAACCATGTTCATTGTTCGGTCACTTCTGGCGATTCTTGAATTATCGGTGAGAACGATGCTACGAGTGGTGAACTGTGATGTCATTTCTACATCTCACCAATCCCACCTGTCTCTGGGGTCAGGTACTTTTGGTTTGAATTGTTCGGCGGTCAATGAAAGCACCTGAAGTGTAGGTTAGACTCAGTTGTTATGGCACCAAAAAAATAACAAAAAGGTTATCAAAAGTCAAAGCTTTATTTGCAAACTTAAGTTTTGATAGATTTAGTACATTCGATTAAAATAATTGAACATAGCTGACTTATAAACGCCTTTGCGCATTTAAAAATTACAACATTTTTTGATAAACGAACATTTTATTCAAATGATAGGTATAGCTGCGGGCTTCCTTTACAAAGATGTACTCATCTTTTCAGTTCTTCTTTATTTCCCTGTTAATTTAGTTGGAAAGTGCATAACATTTACGCTATGAAATAATCAATAGGAATTTATGCATTATTACTAACTTTCATAATAATCCAATGCCTCACTGGATACTGTCTGCGTATGAGAACCAGTAGCACTATCTGAACTGGCTTTAGACACAAAAATTGCAAGCATCGTTGTACATGTTCCTTCTTTGGTATGGTTCAGAGTTGAACAATGTCAGAAGAGCTACAGCTTCCTACCATAAACAAAGATTTAGAAGCTAACCAAGTAAAATCTTACATGGAACCCCTTGCCTTTTAGTTTCTTTAAAGCAACATGCAACACCGTAGCTCTACTGAGCTGATGTCAAACATGGGCTAACAGGTCTTTATAAATGATCTCTGCCATTCGTTCATACCCAGCAGACTTCATATGCAATCCCACCTCCCACATTTGTTTTCGTTCCTCGCTACTTAACGAGTATCGTGGAAATTTATCCGCAAGATCACAAAGGATGGTAAATTCGTTGGATCTTGCGTAATATCTCAATTTTTCATTGATGTATCTCCTTTCCAAATGTGTGTGAAGGCAAGGTGGTCTCTTGGATTCCTCGCAGTCCATCTCAGGGATGGTGACCGCCACCGTTTTCGCGCCATAGCGATGAGATGTGATGTGAAGGTTTATGATGCGTTCTGCCGCTTTGTCCCAGGCTCTTCTGTTCCGATCGTGGCTGTTGTGAGCGATATCGTTTGTGCCAGCTAGTATTATGATCCAGGAATATTTGGATTTAGCTGTTAAGGAAAAAAAACCGTTGAAAATAAATTACTTTTAAAACAAGTAGGGTGAATTGAATGGTAGCTAAACAAGAACAACCAATAAGGCCGCATTACAATACGGATGAAGGAGGTTAGGATGAAGGATGTTCATCGTATGAGGTAAAAAAGAACCTTTACTGCTGTTGTTGTTTCCAGAAGCGAAACATTTCTCTCAGTGTAGACATCTTCCACGCAAGAATTGTCGTTTCGTCAGTTTGGCCAGGATGTGACTGATATTAATAGTAGTTGTCAAAATATACGCCGTGCCATTTCACTCCCAGTAAAAATGATCTAGAATACCATGATAAGGTGTCCGCAGACCTCCATAAACGCATAACAAAACATTTATATTGGCTTAATAAAGCAGTCAAGTCAGTCCAAGTGTCATGTACTTTGCGTATTATTATGGGTGTTAATATAATAAACGTTAACACAATGATGATCATTTTTTAATAATTCTGTACCGCGTTTTAGATGATCTTGAAGCCTGGAAGACATTTCTGCCGCTTCAGTACCGTCTTTAGCTACTGTAGTCACAGTGTAACATCTGTGTTGGTCTTTGTTCAGCAGAAACTCCAGAGTGTTGCCGTACGGCGTGTGACTTAAATCATCAGCATGGAAACCGTTTGTCAGGCTGTCGCCAAACGCAAGAATAGGCAATACCCGCACTCCTGTAAAGAACATAGCTAATGTTGACTCGAGTGAACTCCACCAGGAAAGCCTCCATTCCCCCCACCCTCTCCCCTAACTCTGAATCGTTGTCTATCTTTTTGTAACATTATGCAACGTTAAACCTGAATCAATATTGTTCACAACGAAGTAAATTCTGATCGACCGAGGCCTAACCTTTACATTAAAAAATGGTTTTTGATTGTGTCGTTAGAGCAAATCCTAGAAGCATCACAAACAGCCAATCATAACGAAGAATGATAAAAGAAGGATTCACCAAGAACCCAAGGGCAATAAATGTGACCTCGTCGCCAATTTCTTTGACACTTAATCTATTAGAATTTATCAGAATTATTGTTGTCACAGAAGGACAAAGAGCCGAAACCCATGTTATTACCTTTCCTTATTTCGCATATGTAACCAGCCTTCGGCTCTCTGCACGAAACCATGTTGATGGAACCTTCAAATAGAGCCGCGCAATTTTTGTTCCCCAGCTCATCTTTTACGTCAACGTCACGTGTGTAGGGTACATCATCAATCCATGTCCAGATTCCTCCCTTCTTTCGCAGTCCTATGTAGAAATTTTTTGTGCGATGTTTCAACGACACAATTTTATTTTGTAAAAATTGTACTTCTCCGTCTGTTTTCGGCATCGCAAGAAGACCATTTTCTTTATTGCACTTTTGTGGAAACTCTTCCCATCTCCCATTTGATTTTGAGACAAACAAATAGCAGAATTCGTCGAATGCAAGCCATCCATGAGGACACCTCTCTCTGTAATCTGTGCAAAAAATTGGAAAAAGGTCAATTCCAATCATTTCATAACCAAAAGGAATAAACCGCTGTGATGGTAAACAGCGCTTAATCGATACTAACTGCAGAAAAATTCTTAACTAACTCAAAAACACACACTCCGCTTTCCCGAGGGGCAATATATCTACTCATCTGACATCAGTCGTGACGCTGATTAATGTTGATATGTTATACGAATTAATACAAAAAAGGGAAAAAATCTTTTGATTGCTGAGTTCCTTACTTCCTCTGATGTAACTGATTTCATTATTGGGAAATTCAAGTTCTATGAAATTTATATTGCGCTGCCACCATGCGACAGCTCTCTATAGGAACACGTTTGTTTAAACAAAGGAGACCAAATAAAACCTAATTTGATATTATGTTACCAGTTTTTCCCATTTTTTCGCATTTCGTTATTGTTGCCTTGTCTTCAGCTCCAAAAATACCTAATCAAAGAAAAGCATGGTAAATGGTTGATTAAGTTGTGAATGCAATAGCAATTTTAAAAATATGGTTATCTTCCTTGCACGTTTTAACTCGAAGAGATTACCTGTATGTTGCTTCGTCTTTGTCGATAGGAAAACTTTGGTTATCCTATGTGGATGAACTTGTTTCTGATGGTGTTCATGTGCTGACACAAAATGATCACCACTACCTGACTCTCCTCCGCTGCCATGAGCAGACGTGTCATGAGCCAGACCCAATTTTGGAAATGGAATTGTTGTCCTTCTGTTGGTAATCAAAGAGGTTGGTTTTGTAAAATGTCTCTTCTTTGTGGGTCTGAAATGTTGTAAAGGATTCACTTTTTTGTCTTCTATGCTCCCATTTCCTTTGGTTTCATTATACATGTCATCACTTTCTTCCTCAATGTGAGATAAAGCTTTTTCTCTGTAAGGTTGAAGTAAGGCATGAGACGTTGTGTTCTTTATCCTTATGTCAGTTTGGATGGCAAGTCCTAAAGCTGTCTTTAACTTCTTATTTAGATCATCACTGTTCTCGCCTGAATAAGAATCGTCTCCTGAAGACAACGATGCAGTCTCAGTTGTTTCACTCTCTCCTTGAAACTTTCCCAGTATTTCCTCTTCTCTTAAAGGCACAGTTGCTCCATTCATCTTCCAGGGAGTCGTCGGTCGTACAATTGAACCTTTGTTTTGAAAAGGCTCATCTTGTGCTGAACCAGCTGTTATAAGATTGATCGCCATAGGATTTTCCATAAACGCACTTTGAAAATAGTGTCTATCATCTGGATTCCCTAATAAAAACAGGTCGCTGGAGCGATATCCCGCAGCGTTCTCCGTTTCTGTGTTGGATGCTCCTTTATCACTTTGCTCTTTCATTGTATAGGAGGCACTTTTTGCACGTTTTTTAGCGTTTTTTACTGTTTCAGACCTTTCGTCCCATAATTGACCATAAAGCTTTTGCTGGAAAGATTTCAAACCACTACTCCACGCTCTTGCCTTAACGTCCTTGGCATGATTACGTAGAGCCTCTAAATCATTCAAATCGTCAGATATTTCTCCCATTTGTGGTTTAATAAGCGAGTTCAAATATCTGAAGCGAGACGGTGTCATGGACATCCAGCCCGGGTGTTCAGTGCTTTCTTGCCTAAGGGAATGATATCGAGAGCTTGCAGGTATTCTGCCAACGTTGTTCCTCTTAACAGCCTGAGATTTCCTTGACTTCTCGAGTAGCGAAGCAATATTGACAATCGCGGAACCTTCCACTGAATTTACGGAGTTTATGTCAGCGTAAAATGGCACCTCTCTGAGGGCACTATCCATAAACTTGTTACTATGTGCAGTTAGTTCTGGGTCTTTTAATAATAAAGCTGACTGTTCATTATCGTCCTTTAAAGAGCTTTCCTTGGTAACTTTTCTCTTCACTTTATCAGGATTGACATAATACTTATCCAGTATCTGAATCCGGGATCTAATCGTTCTTGTCTTTCCAGTTCTTCCCTTATCACCTCGCTTAGTCTGAGGTGTTAAATGGCCACCAGTCAACCACTTATTCCGCGATTCCCTGTGCGGAAGGACCGCCGTTGATTCCTCGTGTGTTAAGTTGCCTTCATGTTTTACCTCGGGCCAAACGTGGTGAAGATTAGTCTTGACAGGAAAAGTTTCCACGCCTAAATGGTGAAGAATCAAATCTTAGATTTGGAGATATATTCAGAAAAATATATTTCCAGGTACATAGGTAAGATTCCAGTGAAATGGCTAGATGACAAGTAAGAAGAACGCAGAGGGTAGTATAGCTATGATATCAATTGGAATAATTTATATTTGAAAAAGCAATTATCTTAAATGGCAGATCCTCTCTGCTAGGCTGGTTACACGACATTTGAATTTATGTCTAGAGATATCAATCAAGCGCTTGGCTGCATCTTACACATCACAGTTACCAACTCGTGCGTATCAGCCATGACAAACGTCAGTGCTTCAATCGTTTTCTATCCATATGAAGCCGTACTGAACCTGTTAATCTACCAGACTCTCGAGACAAGAAATGAAGCCAAACTAATGAAACAACCTTACCGACGCCTTAGGGTGATCATTTTCCAGTTATCGTTGCACTCGAGTTATTTGACTACCTGAAATCCTGAAATAATGTTACATTTACTTTCCCTGTTACTACAGTGTTTTTTCAAAGAACGAAAGTACGCGGTATGAAATGTCCAATTAAATTCGTGCGCCAAGATGTCTTAGATTTGATCCCGCTGACGTCTCTTGACATGAGAATGGTATAAGTTTAACTATCTTAGGAATAAGTCTTCCATGGCATTCGTAGTCTCATAGCCTGATCGTCTCCTGCTCAAAGCCAATACGATATGGTTGTGAACATACATGATGGCAGTTTTTAAATGCTGCGATATCTAAATTAAAACTGGCAAATCAAAACGTTTACCAACCTGTTAAAACACACAGGAAAAAACAAACCACTACAAATCCTCTTAGCAACCACACATCGTGAGCCATGTTTCTAATACCAGTATTACCGATCTTACAACAAGTCAACGACTCCACAGTTGCAACGAATTACTGAAGCTGTGTTTCACAGCTTAATTATTCAGAATGAAACAAATCCACACAGACATGTCTCACAAAAGCTCTTTTTTCTCGAGTTGGTTCCTTTAAAGTAACCACTCAAACACTTCAATTTTTGAGTCAGACCTCTTTAAGATTCTTAATTGGGTTGCTGGTACCACGTTGAGAGGAGGAACAGTCCAAAACATTCTTCATGTCTTACTAAAGGGATAAAATATTTTGTTTCTGCCTCTTCGCAATAGGAATATCCATGCAGGATGACGCCCTAGGTAAATATGTCAGAGGAAATTGTCATTTTTTTAAGAAAATTCAAACTACGTGGCCCTAAGAATGAAAAACCTGTTAATGATAGAAATCAACGGGTAACACATTCTTAAGTTGTCATACGCTTGATTGGGCGCATCGATGCGAAAAGACTCAAATTTTGAAGTTGATTTCACGGCTGACAAAGTTCCTAACGTCTGAGCGCAAAAGCCGAACTGGGTGTTTTCTTTCCATCTAGCGGGTCCCATATGTTTCGCGTACCAACGCCGCGCAAAACTGTTGTAGCGGTAGCGTTTGAACGCGGGAATGGAAAGGATCGCCAAGGATACGATGACATCTCGAGCCCCGCATATACGGACGTCGCCAGGACAGGGCAGAACCTCCATTCTTTAGAGGAGAGCAATATAACGTCACTTCAAGACTCCGCTGACAGCTCTGAAGTATTTAGTAGTAAGAAAAGCACAAGATGCACCTTAATTTGTTAACGTACCGTACTGAGAAACTGTTGACCATAGATAAAAAAAAAGGGTGTGCCTTGGTCCTGAATCTGGTAAAAAAATAACATTATGGTTACTGAAAAACATCTCATAGTGGTTTAAAAGTGCGACAAATTCGGCTGTAACCATATTAACCATAGAATGTATTGGAATCATGTTAGCCAAAAAAATTGTTCGCAATGTTTTGAACAGCTTACACGGGTCCTGTTTGAAAGAAACAAACTAAAAGTTTTCTTGAACGGCTTTGCTGCTTGTGATTGATAGATTGTACTGAGTCGGCTATAGCTTCGATTAATGACCTAAACAAGCAAACGCGCGAACGAAAGTTTGTAATCTCTATAGAAGTGGAGAACGTTTAAGGAAGGATATTCCTTCTGTTTTTAATATTGTTTCTGTTGCAAATCACTGAGTGCAGCTTCAAATTTAAACACGTGCTAACTCGAGACAGACCGAAAGAAAATGATTGGTACATTATGTATTTATTAAATATACGTATCAAAATATTCCTTATTTACATTTTTCAATACCTAAGTTTCCCCAATTTTCCTTTCATTCACCCAACCCTTTTTAATTCTGGCGTTTTAGTCTTAACCAACTTGAAGATTCATTCACAGTTTATACAGAACCAGTGAACGTTAGGCGATAGAAAGGTCTGAATTCATGTAGCCCTTAATTTGGTATAACTACACTACCAAGATGTTAGTTTTACGCTATTTTGTGATACCTGGCTTTTAATCCTAGGAGGAAAAATGGAAAACCACAAAAGATATTTACAGTTCTCGCAAAATGTCAGGATCTATGTCAGTTAAAATCTAGATTGTCCACGCTAGAAAAAAATTTACAGCAATTTACAACCGCCCCTATTAGTGATAATTTATAGCCTTTTTTCTCCTCCATTTCGGCATTAATATCAACACGGAAAGACCGAGCAAACTTTCATTCTTACCATATATATTTAAGCGGTTTGCCCCTAAAAGATACCTTTGTTTAACTTTGAGAAGTCTCTGCAGAGGTTATTATTTTACATGGCTAATAAAACCTTCACATATAAATTTTTAAAGGTGTCACTAATGTTTCCATGGAAATAAGTACTCTTTCCACCAGACTGTGGTGCTTAGTTGCTGATTTACGTTGTCAGGCAAAGTTCGGGAGGTAAGCGCGTATAACCAAATCAGCAAAGAATTTATTCTATTTAGCTAGGAATCCGGCTTCCTTTTAATTTACACTTCTCTTTTTATCTGTGTGTTTTAGAGTCTTCTTATGGTTCTTTGACTTGTGTAAACTTCGCCTCCATCTTTTCACGTGTGGCTTCTTTCTCAATGCGTGTATAGTATGCTCTGCCTTGAGATACTTTAAAATTTCCCGCTGAATATCAAATAACTTGTCCATTTTGTTCAGCATTTTGGCCATAACAAGAGCGTTTGGTGAATTGTCTGGTTGGTCAGGGACATCAGTCCTTTTTCCTACAGTGAACTGTTGTCCAGCATCTAATTTCTTGTTCGATGACAGCGTATTGAAAAACTTCAACTTGTGCAACCTTCCTTCCGTCGACCCTTCCTTTGTCAGCTTGTCTTTTTCCGAAATTTCGGAAAGATGATCTTGTTTATTGTCTGAACTCCACCGGGACCTCTCTTCCCGATTTTTCTTTAAGCCACTAATTCGATTTCTTAGGAAATGACTCGTGTCGATTCGATTTCTTGAACCTTTGAGCCAAATATTTATCTCATTCCTCCTTCGTCGCTTGATGTCATTTTCAAGATCTTGCAGGTCACGCTTTCTAATGTCCTCCCCATCACTGATGCCGTCGTCCGTTTTGAGATTGTTAATACGATTCTTGGCACGCTGCATTGCAGAGTACTTTGCAGCCTCGATGATGGTCAAAATTTTCTCAATTTTCTTTATTTTATCCACTTCAAGTTTTGCAATGTTTTCTTTTCTGATGTCCTTTCGAATCTTCTCTTCATCATCTTGGATTTTCTTCTTTACTTGAGGGTCATCTGCCATTTTATCCTTTTGAAGCAGTTGTTTCTCTTTTGTAATTTCAGCTTTCTCGTTCTTCATGTCGTCTTCGTATTGCGTAGTCTCCATTTTAGCTTGTTTCTCAATATCATCGACGATGTGCCGCACGGAAGTTGGTGATAGCCCTATGGCCTCCTCAATCTTGGACATAGCTAGACTGGCTCTTTCGGTGTCATGAAGCTTTCTGTAAGCTTCTGCGATCAAAGGATTGACTGAAAATGAAAAATTTTTAATTAAACTAATATTTCATTTTTCCTCTTGGTTAACGTTGGCTATATTTGCGTAACCGCTAGACAGAGAGCTAAAATCCACCATACCTCAGGAAAACTATTTAAGTTAGTTTTTATTTCTCGTGCAGGGCTCTTGAAGAAGTAAAAACAAAATGTTTCGCTTCACTAAAAGTGTTTCATCTTTTTTTTTCATTTTCAATATTCGATGAGTATGGTATAAGATGCGCGACAAATGATTGACTTCTGTATATGACATAAAAAGAGACTTGTCATTTACTTTTAACAAATTTTGATCTTGGAAACCTTACTCACTGATTTACCAAGCTGGTAGCTTGTAAGATAGCTCTATGTTAGAGGTTTTAAAAGATTTATAAAATCAATAATTGTTCTGATAGGCACTCTATTAAAGGTATTAGCACGCTCGAAATCTCATCATCAATTGAAATAAGTTTGTGTTTACCTGGCGCTTGATAAGGTGCAACTGGAGGATAATACATCGGAGAATTCCAAGAGTACTGCGGGTTACTGGACGGGAGAGCTTGGGTATTCCACGGATAAAACGAACTGGAGGGATAAGCCCCTGAGAGCGCCTGCTCGCCGGAATAAGCCGCTGAACCTGAGGGTTGAAAGCTTACTGGACTTGGTTGTGTCGTGACCTGAGGTTGGTCCTGTTTAGTGTAAATCAAATATTTAAAATGTTTATGGTTGTGATACTAGAAAATATTCAAAATGTTATCTCTTTAGGGTAGATGAGCACCCGAGTAGTTTAGCTGTATAATTACGGCTATGGAGCCTAGGGCATGTAGCCACTTTACTATCTTTGTAACCACTGTAAAGCTTTCCCTGTGACAATGAAAAAGTTAAACAACAGTTTACCGCTCATGAATCTTAGAATACGTCTCCACAGCAGAAGAAAACCGCGACGAGTTTCGTAAATTTTTCTTGTGAAACAATACATTCTTTGATCTTGATCTTTCAGGATGGCTGTATATCAGCCCGTGGTTTTTTTCCAGTTCTTATATACTTCGACCCCCTTCTTAATTGAGTATAAAACTTGGCTAATATCCACCATTTTGAATTTAGGCTTACACAGTCACACATACTTGACTCACATTAAGAGCGGCATATGGTGTTACTTCCGGCTTCACAGGTTCAGGAGCCTCAGCTTGTGGTTTCTTCGGCTGTATGTGCGGAACAGAAGTCTGTTGTGGCACCTGGACGCTTGCAAGCGGTTGATGATATGGCTGCGTTGCAAACGAGTTGGGAACACTGGACGGGGAATCAAAGTATCTTGACATTGAAGCTAATTTTGCAGACAGGGCACCAGGGTTGAACGATGCAGCTTGAGGTGCTGACTGTGTCAAGAAACCGTTTTGTTGTCCAATAGCTGATTCAATCGTCTGCACTGGCATTGCAACTGGCTGAACAGGTGCAGCTGGTAGGAAAGGCTTAATGGGCTGAGCTGGTACGGCTGGTTGAGCTGGTGCGGCTGGTTGAGCTGGCAGGGCTAGTGCAGCTGGCACGGCTGGTAGAGCAGGCACGACTGGTGCAGCTGGCACGGCTGGCGGAGGTGGTTTGGGTGTTCGAGATGGTGCAACTGGCTGAGGAGGTGTAACCAATTTAACAGGCTGTTGCTTAGGCAGTGGCTTAGGCGCTGAAACATCTTTCTGCGGTTCATTCACTTCACTACCACTCAAACCATTATCGTTAGATGGAGTCTTGGGAGTACTTCCAGTCGTCTGTGTTTCATGAGGCTTCTTTATCACTGATGAACTTGCCATATCACTAAAATCAATATCTGCTGGGTTGATTTTAGTGTCAGTTGCCTCGTTCGAGAAGCTCGCTACCTGACCACCCTCTGGCTGCACAGATTGTTCGCTAAGTTGATTATCGCTTTGAGGTGAAAAGGCTGATACGCTTGTCTCTTTGACTGTAAAAAAAGAAATTATTTCCTCAGGAAATTATTCTCATAAAAGAAAATTTAACCACGCTTAATGCTAATCCTTAGGATATGAACCAAATCCTGGTTGACTTTTGGCATTAGCACGATTTTAAATACAAGTGCCATAGCTTTGACGATGATCGGGTGCTAGCTAAAAGACGTGAATTTCCTTTTTTTCCCTTTTAAATGTGGTAATCTAACCCGCTTTGATAACACCTTTGCTGTATGAAAATTATGGTTCTCCATTTACTGCTTACTTGAATTTATTCGTTGTAATTCCGTGTCATCTTGATGGTTTGGCTGAGACAAAGGCCCCACATTAGCATGAGCAGGTAAACTAGGAGGCGGTGGCTCGCTCGTAAGAGCCGGAGCCATACTTGGAGGGGCTACTGCTTGAAACATCTGAGGTTGATAACTGCCCGTGTATGACGGCATGACAGGTTGATAAGCAGGCTGTGAAACTCCCCCAAAATAACCGGCAGCTTCCGGTGGATACGAAAGCGGCGATCCAAGATACATTTGGGGCGTGGACGCAATTTTGTCCTTTTGAGCTCTGACGAGGTCTTCGTGAGCTCTTTCTTTCGCCAAATATTTTGCTGCCTCTAACTTCACTATCAGTTTCAAAATACTTTCTGCTTGGTTAACGTCCTCGTCAGCGACTTTTTCAAGCTTCACGAATTTCTGTTTCTTTTGACTGTCCTCAGTTTGATCGGCGAGTTTCTTGAAGTTTTTCTCTTCATCCTTGAGTTGATTCTCTAAATTCTTGGTTTTATCTTCAATCGTCTTAGGACTTAATCCAAGCTCGTTTTCTATGTTACTGAGTGCTTTAGCTGCTTTTATAGCGCGCTGTAACTTCTCTCTTGCAACTACCACAGGATCATCTAGGGATATTTAAAAAAAGATGTTTACGTCAGTAGTATATCATTTATAAACATGTGAATGTTAATAATCATTCCTTCTTTTTAATGATACCTTGAAGAGGGAGCTGCCGCTTTTGGCGTGCGTCGGTTTTGGATTTCACACTAGGGGATGTCTTTGGTTCATGCTCGTTATCTGCAAAAGAGATGAAGAGCAAAGGGTACGTTAAGTGACCTATTTTGCATTTCCAACCGTTGTGAAGGTGAACAATGTTAGTTGTGCAAAGTTACAGTTATGAAAATATCACTTTACTTTATCTGTTACATAAAAAAAAAATAGAGAATGAGAAGAGAGTAAGTCAGATGTGGAAACATTCGCTATAGCAAATTACTTCGAATAATTATCAATGCAGGAGAATGTCGACCTGGCAGAAAGGCTACAAGATCAATCTAGATTAGTTGTGAAACGTTAGTGGACTAAGAAATAGCCAGAAGTAAATTGATACAAGAAAAAGTAATAGCATTGAATCCTAATTGTGTTGTTAGAAAATATCAAATTTTTCTTTTCATAAGTGAAAAACTAACCACACGCTTAAATAATTTTTCCAAAATCCAGCATTGAACACCTAACAATCCTAGATGTTGAGATTTTGAGAAGGATACTCAAAACGTATTTGCAAATAAACGTGACATGAAACGTTTTCGCTCAAAGAATCAGGAGCTCCCTCTCCAAAGCAATCTTTACACATTTACCCTGACCTAGAAAAAGGACAGTCATTTATCTTTATATGGGTCAGGAATTTCCCTCCGATTAAAAACTGAGACTCTCCTTTATCACTGACACAAATATGACGATGACTTCTCTGACCTAGATGTTTTTCACTTTTTTTCTCTCCTTGAGTTTCGTGAGAATCGTTGTCTTCTTCATTAGCACCATCATCATCATCATCATCATCATCCAGATCGTCAGAGGGGAATTCTTCCACAGTGGGGATCCCGTATTCCTCTAGCATGGGATAATCAATAATATTTTCCCCCAGTAATGGACTGAACTGCTCCAGATCTCCCACATCTTCATAAAACTCTGTAAGATTTTGAGCGATACCAGGTTAGCATTCAAACCCACCGATCATGCTAAGCAGTTCCCTTAGTATTGCAACAACTGCTTATAAAAAATGATATAATCTAATCGGCTAGCTCCTCCCCTCGTTCAGTTTTGTTCAAAAAGGATAATAAAACTTGTGAAAGGACGACTGAATGAAACTTCATTAGTTCTCACAACCTTTAAAATTCTAACAGGTTTTAGTTCCGGTGTTTTGACACAGCTGGGAATGAATATGAACAAACGTAAATACAGACAAACGTTATACTGTTCTAATAATCACCATCTTAACTTCTGTCGCGTGGATTAACTTGAGGGGGGGGGGGTGGGGGGGCTGAAGGTGAGGGGGGGAGGACCCAGAATCCTCAGTGTATCATTGTTCATTGTTCTACCTTTTGTCTCAACTGCTTACCTTGAGCAATGGAGTATTCCAGCAGGAGGAAGACTGAGACCAAGAGAAGGACCAGCCTCAATGAAGCAGAAGCCATAAGATTTCTGCTGAAAATAAAAGACTCCAAGACTTTATACAAATGTGAGCTTATCGATTTTTTAATACAAATTTTAAAAGGATCTCAGATCACGAGTATACTGGCCTTCTAATTATTTAGTGCTCAGAATTTGCGCCATGGGTTATAGCTTAAAGATTGTTTCCTCCTTGTGGACCATCGTATTCTAGGTAGGTTTTATTCCCTCTCCGATCCCATCTATTTTTTTACACTCTACAAGGATCTTGAAATGACGAAATCCACTTACGCAAGTTTAGCTCACTTCGTCTTTCTCCTCCCAAACATTTAACTAAACGCACCACAACCATGAAAATTGATCCGCATAAGACCAGATCCATTAAGGCACTTGACTACATTTTGGATAAGGTATACCAAGGATCCACTCTCTTAATCTTATCTTCATTTGTCTACTGACTTCACCACATATAAACCTTAGTAAAAACTCCTGCCATCTGATGGAGGGAAGACTAACCTTTTCTGGGTTAGAGATTATAAATTCATGCATGTCGTACTTAAGTCATACTATAGCGGTTTATTCAGCTTTACGATACCTACTGCTCACCTGACCAAGCGAGTAGTTTTTCCATGGAGCTGACCATGTTTTTTTCTGCTTGGTGAATCGAATGATTTGAAAGATGCACATGATTGGCTCACTTCATTTCATGATGGTGAAAAGATTACAGAGGGCAACACATTACTTAGAAACATCATGTTTAGAAGGCGAAATTTTCTCTCTATTCTTGCTATGTTGCGCATCAAGACCTTACTCGTGATTCATGAATATATAAAGCTTCAAAGTGTTGTTTAATGTGGCAGGGATATGCATGAATGACTTGCACATTCACCGGTATCGCAGCGAGGATATATGCCTATGTATACAAACCCAATATTTCAAAAGTATTGCATCTTGTATACATGCTAAATTCTTTGTGTAAAACTTGAGGATTATCCATACTCAAATTACTATTTTTAGGGAAGGGAAGGTTTTGGATCATTGAGTGTGAGCCACACGGATTTTGTATGTAATGCAGTTACCTGTTATAAGGTATTTAAGGACCTGACGAGGTGAACACGAAAACAGACATACGACAAAAGAGGCGTTTAACAGCCGACATACAGCTGGCTCAGCTGTAAACTTTTACTTCTATCTAAAACTTAGAGAATTCATAAATTCACAAACTTAAAATTTGCGTGTATTTCTACTCAGAGCTTTCTTTTAGGCGCATATCCTTAGATCATACATTAAAGATAAATATAAATGCCTACTGCTGCCCTCAGTCACCTTATCTAAATGCTACCTGTTAGCAGTTTTAGCAAGTTGTCTGTCCTCTCTCATTTCTTTGTTGCCTCAGCGAGCTTACTGGGACATTTTTTCAAATCATTCATTGAGAATAATCTTTTAATACTATTGAATTGATTTGCTCTAGAGACGGCCTTTTTTTCAACTGTAGTACAACAAGGTTTGAAACTTTTGTGGCCATCTTTTTTCACTATAATCTATTATTTCTTATAATCAGTTTCAGAGCATCTTAAACGTGTTGAAACAGAATTTAGAATCTATTTTAAAAAATTATTATGGTCATATTGATTTAGTTCGTCGATAACTGAAGGGTTCTTGACATTATCCACTTTGCCCTTGATATATATTTATACGACGCTCTCTTCCCAAGGGTCCTTGTGATCCAATATTTCTATTTTTTTAGTAAATACATTGAATAAGTCATGTCCTTACTGAGTTGCAGAATTAGAGTCAGACATTTCTCTAACGATAACGTCCCCATTTTGGAAACATCATAATTGCTCAAGGAATAAAAATATCAGAGGACCAGTCGCCTAAACTGTTCACTTATCAGTAAAATATCTCAGTAAAATTTGATGCAAAGTCGGCTACGAAGCCCCACAAATATGTCATATTCTAAACTTGGATAGAAAATCAAAAGGGCGGTCAAGCATTTTTAGTTTATCGCTGGAAGAGCGGCCTCATTGAAAATCTTCACCGAGCACACTCACGTATAAATCGCCAGAAACATAGAAATTAGGTAAAACGCACCACACTACAAATACTGGGTACAACTAAGGTTTAACCAGGCGCGCAATATATTTGACACGGGGTTGAAAAGGAACCTTCACGTGTGTAGGAGACACGGTTATGTCTCGCTTGAACGTTCCAAATCATTTAATCCCTCCCAATTCACGTTGAAAAACAGATCTTAAAGTAACCTTAGGCTTCTGATCTTTGAGCAATGTAAATTGAAAATCACGACGTTTGGATAAGCAGCCATGATTTCGGGAACACCTTGAAGCCAATGAAGTGAAATAATCACCTACCTGTAAGAGTTCAAGCGATTGTCATCTTACGACATTAACCAGTGTAAAATTCTGCGTTTGAATTTCAAACCCAGAGAACCAAAACGGATTCTGGCGGGGTAAAAAATACAAGACTCCAAGGAACTAAAACATATCTTGATTTCTCACGCAAAAAATCTCGCCTAAGGATTCGCCATTTCTTTTCCACCTTTGGTGTAAAAATATGAACTAAGATTGATTTATGGGTTGAGATCATCATTGAAAATGGACCAATCAGGTGGAACCATTGAAAATCATTGTTTCGTTTGTTGATCCCCGGGAATTAAGACCAGTCAAGCCGTGGAGTACCATTTACCTGTTGTTTGTATTGGATATTATCAACAAAATTGAACATGTTTTCACACGCGTTCATACGACTTCTGGAAAAAGAGTAAAACACTTTCAGGTGTTACATTTCCAGTGCAAATCTTGGGGCATTTATTTCCAGGTTACCTCTGATCACGAGTCATCAATAGGTTGGGTACAAGTTAAATGTCTGCAATTCCCTTAATACTAGTGTACACGGTCAAAATTTCTCGATGCCTAAGCATATTTTATTGTCTAAAATAATTCCACTTTAGAAATTGTAGGGAAATATACCTAGTACTGTTTCCACTGAAGCGCGTGCTTACGAGATGCCTGCAATTCCCTTAATACTAGTGTACACGGTCAAAATTTCTCGATGCCTAAGCATATTTTATTGTCTAAAATAATTCCACTTTAGAAATTGTAGGGAAATATACCTAGTGCTGTTTCCACTGAAGCGCGTGCTTACGAGATGCCCAAGAAGGCATGCCTGATGCAATGGTGAGAAAATAGTTCATTCATAGAAGTCATTATTATGTTTTCATTTTGCTTGTTTTGTTTAGTTTTAAGCTGTTTCTCGACAAAACCAATTGGCACTTGACATATCTGTTAAAAAACACAAGCACTTTTGAAATAAAAAGGGCCATTTCAAAATGTCACCACCACTACAAATTCCGATGTGGCGTAAATTCACACCTTTCAGCATCAAGGTCACCTGGAAAGGTAATGGCAAGTGCGCTGTTTTCCGTTGGACTCCAGTAGTAGCAACGAGTATGACAGATTATTAGGATTATTGTGATGTGATGCTGGAAAATACGCTTAACCTTCATAGCGCTTCCCTATAGCAAAAAGTGAGTGAGCTTTTTGGAAATCTTGACTTAAGGTATCAACCTGCAATGTGAAAATTTCACTGTCTGTACTTAACGTTTACCTGTTTCTTAACAGAAGGTATTCCCCAGAGTAATTACTAATCGGAACAAGATACCACTTCACATACTTTTAGATAAAAATGTTTTGCAGATGTAAAAATAGAAGCAATTTAACCGTATTGAATAAAATAGAGGAATATAAACACAAATTCCATAGGCCATTTCTGCATTATCTTTGGCCTCTTATTCAAAACGAGGCCTGGTGCTAAATCATTCGTTTTAAAATTAGTTTCGTTTACATGTTAACTTGCGATCATATGAAAGGATAAGCACCAGAACTCGCTTTGAAAAAGAGGCTAACGGTGTTTCGGAAATGGGTATTATAACATCCCTTTTAAAACTGTCTTGTCATCTTCCGCCGAAAACTATAGTTTCTCTCGAGTTCTCGTGTAATTACTAATAAGTCTATAAAAAGAATGAAAACGAATCGAGAAAATCTAGTTATAGGATGACCAAAATAAGAGGAAATTAAACCCATGAGAACATGTTGATCGACAATTTACCTTCGTACCGGTTGAACGTGGATATAATTCCCTAATAGCTTTATCATCACTATGGGGCTATCATGTCAAACATCCAAACTTCTTTAAAATAAACGATTCTACCTATACATTCTTTTATTCTACTGAGGGCATTTAGCGATCCTTTTTGCCTCCCACAGCGATGCATCACGTCAGTCGCCATAATTCCCCCTCATTTCGGCTTCGAACTAGCCTTTTCCTATACCGTTTTTCCAACTGGAGTATTTTTTTGAGTGAGGGTCTCCGATGATGATAAATCATCGTTTCTTGATGGTGATTTTGACAGGTAATTTGCCATAGCAATTGGGTCAAAAAGAATTATAATAATGTTAAGCTCTGAGTTCGGACGGATGGTGCCGCAGGTTGTCATATCGGGATACGCCCTCCAACCTTTTTGAGTCTAGAAGAGAGTACTCCTAATATAACATAAACATTCCCATAACGAGCCTTCCTACTCTTATTAAAAAAATTATTGTTAATGTATCTTACATATTCAATATACACAATACTACGCACCAAGCGCAAGGAAGGACTTTTTTTTAGTGATCCCATCAATGCTAAATACCTGAACATTGCCTTGGTTGATCACAAGACAAGCGACTCTGGCAGTATACTCTTGGTGCTAAGAGACAAAGCAGATTGACCAGCTTGACTTGGTGGGACTAATCTTTGCTGGCACAACACTTACGCATCCATTATCTCTAAGAAAAACAAATAGGCTAGGTTTGGTACTTGCGCTCAGTTTACGCAGTTTTGTGGATTGAATGTGCCGCCCCACTTAATTCTATTGTTCGCTGTATAAGATCATGCGCAATAACAGTTGAAACATTTCAAGCGATTTCCACAAAAGATCAGGAAAAATGGGCGAAAAAAACGTTTTGCTCCCTTTCCATTACTTAGAGGATAGATATGTGAAATTCAGAATGTGAAACAGTTACCAGCACTTTTGCATCACATAGCAGTGTCCTGATTGCCAAAGACGAGAAACCTCCCGACAGATAAGCTTTTTCGTATTGATGTTTTTATCGCTGTCAGTCACTTTATATTTTCCACGTTTGATATTTTATTTTGCTTGTTGATGTCAAACAAATCTTTGTTATAGATCATGGCCAATGATAGCATATCAGTGTCCGTGAAAGGTGGAGAATTTCCTCTGCCTCCGTTGCACAGAACGAAAAATAACTATCATTCACCTCTAATGGGCTATTTTCGAATCGCCTATAAGACATCCCGTTTGTCCCCCAAAATTTTGTGTGAGCTTCGTTTTAAAATTTCTCTTGGGATTAGAAAGAGAAATTAAAAACAATGCGAATGCAAAATTTTGGGGGACAAACAAGGTGGATCAGGATGGAAGAGTCGAAAATACCGAATGATGAGTTGTTATCTCTATGAGCAATTGAGCAAAAAATACCCGTGTATGTTATGATCTAAAACGCCTGTGTAATCTTCCCGTTGGAAAAATATTTATATGTACATATAAGGCAGAAAGGTGAACAACATTTAGATGTGTTTTAAGACCAAGAAGACAAAAATTGGACAATCCATCACCTCGTCATTCATCAGGGCCATGTTTCATATATTACGTTGTTCAAGGTCGAGCTTAAAATAACAAATCTCACACATAAATTCTTAGCAAAGGCTTCATCCATTAGGATCTTATTGATTTTATAATACCAACACTTTTTTTGTCAGAATAATGTATCATATTGACTCGTTCAAACCATTAAACTTTATTATTTATGTCAAACTTAATTTGTTCCATGAAAACATGTATGAAAACGGCTGTTAAAAAATATTTTGTAAGTCTTAAATACTTTCCACCAGATTTTTTTTTTTGGAACAGGTTCTATGTGTTACATGTAAATGATACCCATTTTATTTGGCTCGCTCTTCATGTGATTTGAAGAGGAGATTTTTTGCAGCTGCTTTTGAGTGTTACTGCGGTTCACTTTATTTGCTTTAGCTTCTTCCCCTTTTTTCCCGCGCTCTTGGACGAGTAACCAATCTCGTTGCGATTACTCTCCCTAGTAACTTTCTTATGCTGTTTCGTTTGTAGGGTATAACTGGTTTGATGGAGTCCTCGTTGATTGTGTTCAGAGGTATCCTCGGACCCCTTGGTTGTGTATTCATCTGAGATGTGGGTCTCCCTCCAGGAATTAAACCAGATATAGCTTTTATGGCATTTTCTCCAGCTTTTTTGAAAAACTCCAAAATGTCTCTTGATTTTCGTAGTTGTGCTGATGCTAAGAGAGAAAAGAGAAGCATATCACGGAAGAAACATTTTTTTTTACAAGATCCATCACTTCAGAGCAACAGAAAACAGAAGCAGGTATCTATCATTCTCATTGGCTAACAAGGAGTCTGATTTTCCCAAAACAAATAAGAAACAACAGCTGGTCAAAAATTTCTATCTAGCGAGAAATCCAGCGAGGATCAGGGATTAGACGCGGATTAAATTGTCCTACTATACTTAACAAGGCGAGTGCAATGAGCGTAAGTTCAATGCACTTTAAACATGAATATCCAGACTACATAAATCCATTAGATTAAGGCATCACAATAGTGTCTTCATGTCACAATGGGCAGGTACGCCGGGTACCAAACACACTGATTATCAAAACAACGACGGTTCTAATGTCAAATTGTTTTAAATCTCAAAAACAAGTTTAATTAACTCTGCAGTTACCATTAAACTTGGATAAAGCTACGAATAAACAAATAAATTTAACTTATACCTTGAATATGAAGTTCTACAGAGAGAATCATAAAGATGAGGAGCATAAACATAGCTAGACGACAACCGGGTACAAACACTAACAGGTCTACCACGTGTTGTACACTGCGGTACGAAACAGACAGCTTTGGCGCATTGCAGGCGGAGAAGGAACGTTTCTTTCAATCTCTAAAAACACCAATGTTATCTTAACTCAAATGTAAACCATCCAGTCGAGTGGATAAACATGTCAAGGAATAAGCTACTCATTCACATATTCACATGTAATGTGACGTCGACAGGTATAAATATTTGACAACCAGCAAAAAGAGTAAACCAGACTCTTGTTTGATAAGGCCAATGAAACGTATCATTTGGACGGCCCTAGGTGGTGCATACTATGTTTAGTCCAAATTAAGCCGTTTATAACTGATACCAAATGAACATAGTTCAGCCTCCCTATGTAAAGAAAGGCATTGAATTCAAACAGTGAAAAAACGTATAGACAAACATTGCGCAAGGATATACAACACTCTTTATTGCCATTTTGCTGAAAAACAAATTGGAAACGTTATCTACCATCAGCTGTTGTGGTCGAAAACTTATATCATACCTGGCAACCAACGATTCAGTTCAGTTTCATGAAGAATTTTTAAGCCAAAAGTTAGGTGATCACGTGATACGACCAAGGGCCGGAGTTGGCGGGGAAAACCTTCCAAAATGCAGTAAACGACGGATATCTTCTTCCTTTAAAAGCCCCTATAGATATTTTTCGGTCTTTTAATAATTGTTTCCTTCAGTTGTCCGAAAACGAAAACCTTTTCAACCACAGGAAATGTATCTTGGGCGTATAATCAAATTCTCAAAGTAACATTGAAAAGTAAAAGTACAATGCACATAAAATGCTTGGAAATTGCACACCTTGAGACAAACAAGATTTTATTGGTGAAGTCAAGAATAGAACAAACATTTATTGTTGCTTGCACTGATTATTGATGGTCTGCATTTGTTTATATTAATTAAATTATTTGTATTTTATTGGATTTTATTGATGCAAATTGATACAAGTAAGTTAAACACAATAGGCTTAATTCAAGCAAAATTCACTAGAACTAATCAAGGTAGATACTCAGTTCTCTGACTGGCCCGTTTTGATTCAGTTTTTGGACAAAAGTCATGCAAAACATAGGGCGCAAAAAGCCACTCATTAACAATGGTTTTGCATCGCTTCAAAATCGTATTTGCTTCACAGCAATATTATGTAGAAATAAAAAAAAACTCCTCCGGAACTTGACAAAGAATAGCAATCGTGAGAATGTAAGTAGTATCTTGGTAACTTGGAATTGATAACACTTGCTGATGACAATTTTAAGGCTATAACCTGGAAGCCATCTGTAACAGGAATCTGTCTCAGATCTAGCCGGCCTTACAGAATACTAGTCAAAAAGACAATTTCAAACGCGAGAGAAAAACAGCTGTCATTGTCCGCTGTTAAAAGGTGAGGGCGAGATTGCCTCTGATCCTTCTTCAAATAAAGAGCCTGGGCGACACGGGTGGTTTAACATATTGCTTATGTCATTGGTTTAGAGGCTAATTACGACAAACGGAAAACTTTTTCATGATTTGCAAACTGTAAGCATACTGACTATATATCTAAAATAACTGGTTTAAAAACTGTTCTACTGCTCCTTCAGTGTGCTCAGATGTCATCCTCTCTATATCACGTGCTTTGATTCCGAACTTTGCTCCTATAGCTTTTGCAAGGCTAGCTGCTTTTTTAAGGGAGTTATTTACGTCATCAAACACCTGTCGAAGCCTGTTCTGAGTTTCGCAATGCGCAAGGAGTGCTTGAGCCACTTTGAATTTTAAATTGTTAGTTTTTATGATCTTTTCTTTCAAAATGTCGATCTTGGAAGCTCCAGAGACTGGTTGTTTAACTGAGGAACTTTTATCATCCTTACTCTCTGGCTTCTTTTCAACTTGCGTCGTTTTGACGTCGTGTTGCTCATTGACCGAGACTGCTTTTGGGATTTGTGAAGGATTATTTCCATGTTCAGTTAATGAATTGTTTCTATCGCTTAAAACCTTACTTGGTTTCGAACCTTTTGGGGACATTGCTTTCAATTGCTCCTCCAGTGTTTCTTTATGTTTCTGAGGTTCGGTTTTCGATTTTTCTGAGTGATGTATACTTTGATCTTTACCCGGAAGTTCCTTATGTTTTTCAAGGGATTTCATGGTGGACTGTTTACCAGAATCCTTCATTTTATTAGGGGTTACCTTCATCACCTCAGTAGCGTGCTTAGGCAAATCTTTCCCATGTTTAGGCTTATCCTTTGTGGTCTTGGCAAGGACGGTTTGCTTGAGATCTGTGGGTTTAAAACCAACCTTCGTCTCGTCTTCTTGTTTAGGCCTCACTTGGACCTGAGAAGATTTTGGTTTCCCTCCAGTTGGAGCTTTATTTTGAGTGTTAGCATCTTTTACATGGGGTACGATGGAAGCAGGGGCACCGTCCTTAACAACGTGGCTGTTTTTGCCTTTTCCTCCCACCTTAGAGTTTACTTCGCTTTTTACTTTCTTTGGTAAGTCTTTTCCCTGATCATGATGGGATTTCACAATTTTCCTGGTCTTGTGTTCCACTACAGCTTTATGACCGTGTTTATTTTCAACGTTAGCTGCCTTGTCTTTCATTGTGACCAGCTTCTGAGTGTGCTCTTCACTTTTGCGTCCTTTGAGACTTGAAGAGCCCTGGCCAACCACTTGTTTTTGTAGATTCTCCTTCGCTCTATCCCTTACCAATTTCTTAGCTGTCTCGTTTTTCGTTACTTTATTTGCAGTCTTCTTTTTACCTACATTTTTTGTCGTTGCATCTTTGTTTGTTCCCTTGGATGGATTATATTTGACTTTTTTTTGCTGAGGAATAACTTTGTTGGTGTGTTGTTGTTTGGCCAGTTTGTGAAACTGCATTGGTTTTGCTAAGTGCACAAGACGTGGCGAACTTTTGGATTTCTCTGGCAACGCGTCTTTCACCTTTTTTGTAACCTTCTTATCGTCATCACCCTTTTGTTTCTTCCCAAGATTTTGTTTCACAGAATGGCTTTTCCTGATGCTTTGCATGAGCTTCCAATATTTATCAAAACCTTTTAAATGGAAGTATTTACGTAAAACATTTGGGTCCATCTTCGCCAGTATCGCAAGAATACGTTTGTGTTTTTTCGTTAGCTTTCTACGAACCATCTTTTTCGGGCCGGTTTGCTTCTGATCTCCCTCAGGATGTGCGATTTCAGATTTCTTGCTGCTCACTTCAATCGTGGACTGCTCGCCGCCTGCAAAATACTCTACCAGTTCCCTATATGCTTTCTCGGGGATACCGCTGTGGATATTCAAACGGGTGTCTCCTCCAATTAAAGCATTAACGAGGTTTTCTTTACTCATTTCATCAGTGCTTACTTTCTGTATTGCTTTTTTATCTTGTGGCCTTGAAACTCGTTTAGCTTTCGCGGCGGTCAAAACTTTTGTGCCTTTCTCTCTGTCTTCGACCTTTTTCTTTTGTGACGTCTTCTTTACTGGATGTTTGTCCATTCTGATGTTCAAACCGGGCTTCTTCAACAAATGAGAAGACCCCTCCGCTTTTTTGTCCTCTTTCTTGACTGCGACAGAACCTTTCCCTTTATTGTGAAGACTCTTATTTTTAGCGATATCTCTGCGGACAATTGGTCGGCTGACTTCGGATAACAAGTCGGCATCCGTTTGTGCACCTTCGTCGAAGTCGTCGACAGATCGTGTGGATCGCAAGTGCATTTTCTCATCTTCTTTTATCATACCTCCGCTTTCTTGTATCAGCCATTGATTGATCTCGTTGGCGAGTAATCTAGATTCCCTTTCAGCCATCTCTATTACTTCTTCAAGCCTCTGAATTGCATTGTAATTCCCTGAAATATCCAAAAGGCAAAGTGAGAAAGAATTCAGGAGTTAGGCTGATATCACAAGAGCAAGCAAAAATATTTGAAAAATATCTGAGTTTCAAATATTTTTCAAATTTTTTACCTACACATCATCAAACCCTTAACCCTTTGATAGATAGTATATTTTATTGCCAATATTAGCTCATAGGAAACCCTCCAGTGTATTCACAGTTTACATAGTTAACTTCATAAGAAGATCATACAGAACATTCGTAGTGCATTTTCCAATGCAGGCTGATGACAAAAACGAATGACGTCTTTTTTTGAACCGCGTTAAAAAATGGGATTTTTCTTCTGCTAATTAGTGAAAAATGTATACAGCTTTACTACTAGCAAAAATACTCCGCTTTTCATTCAATTCTCGCTTACCATTCGTCAATTGAAAACAAGCCCCCAGAAAGAAAGCAAAGGCTACTTGTAAACAGGTTTTGTAGCTTAGCTTCATTATCTTGCATGCTGCAATAAAAAAAAGAAAGAAAGATGAAGACGATTGATGATGTTTACCACAAGTTAACCAATGAGGGGTAAGCACGTCGACACAATAGTGCCTTGTTGATCTCAAAAGGGAATTAAGATTGTATACTGATGCATCCTGTAGATGCATCACTGCAAAAAAAAAGATTCTTTCGCACTTATTCTGAAATAATGCTTCTTTCACCTCGCACGTTGGTTCAATGTTTTGGTGGAGAAGAGGTAGTCACCACATGGCATGTTCCAAAACTTATTACACAAGATTTGTTAGTTCGAGCACGGCGGTGATCGAAAAATAACTCAATTGAGACGGTTGCGGTTTACGTTGAAATGAGACCTATATGGGGGGGAGGGTGGGGAATCACGTCGCACGCCTTCTACTTGTTCCTTTCATGCGCTATGACCCATATAGAATTGGATCACCGATCCTATCTTTGTTAAATTCTGTCGCGTAACAACTGTCCACGTTTGCAACAGCAAATTATTATCAATTTTTTTTTCTCTGAAGAAACAAGCTCGCTGTTCCGCTATATGCGCTGTACACGATAACTACTGACACAACTGGCCCCGGTATATATAGCCCCAGTACATATATAATGTAAGGGAAAAGTCCGTGCAGTGCTTTCTAAGATCAATAAATCGGGCGAAAACTTGCCAGCTACTTAAAAGTTGATTAAGTGAAGCCATATGCTTTGTGAAGAAATTTGAATAGTAAACAGGAGGTTGTTTCTTGAAAGTTCGATTAGGGATAAATGTTTAGTTATGATGCACTTTCCAAACGGGCATTGGAGTATATAGTTTACGAGAGGATCAAACTTGTCACAAGAACACTCCCACTTCCTGAAGAAATGAAACCCTCGTGTCGCACAAAAGCCTATTTGTTCGACTAAGCACCGTAACAAAGGGTGGATCACAGGAGGTGGACAGCGGGATAATTTAACAAAGAGCACACTGAGCTACACAGCGAGAAGCCGTCCTATATCAAGCTAACGCAAGCCTCTTTAATTTGAAAACTTTGTGTTTCAAATTTCAACCCGGGAGTTCCCATTAGAAGTACCTAAACCTAGGAAAAATAAACTGCATCAACTTACCTCTGAAACCAGTTCTTGTATCTGCAGCTAATTTTTGTAAGATCACTCGTGGAATACACTATTTCTTTCACATACCGGCAGAACTCGCAGCCCCGGAACGACCTGACAATTCACTGAACAAAAGACTCTCGACTCTTCGAGAAATGTTTAGGGTTATTGTCGGAATTTTACACCAAATTTCGGGTGGAAACTCGTCTTGTTCTGCAACGTGCAGTTAGGGTACCTGTCAGGAGGGTTATAAAAAATTCATAATGTTGTGACATGTTTAGTGACCCACTCCCCACATCTGTGTTCACTTACCGATTGTGGATGTGATGTTTGATGCTCCGGTGTTAAGTTTTCCATTAAGTTTTCTTCTGTTTTAAAACACAGGTAAAATTACTTATAATCTCTTCAAGGATAAAACTTAACTTGAAGGAAAAAAATTAAGTACTGACGTCTCTCTACTTTCAAAACGAGTTGTTGGAAAAGTTAGTGTTGCCTCGCTTAATTTCCCTCTAATTTGTAAATCAATTTCACATTTCAAAAAAAAAATGAGGTGGAGTGAAATTTAGCATAAGGAATACACTATTATCCAGCATTTTTCACTGAGATCTTTTTCTTTTCGTAATATTCATTATCATTAGTACTTATGAGCCATCTCTCAACAACGTAGCAAAAACCTCATCAATCTCTTTCCATTTGATTTATTTACTTCTGATTAGTTATAGCTGAACGAACAGGTGCTCTTTTGTCCATAAATGCTGTGCTTGGGTCGGTAGTGGTTATAGAAACATCGCCAACAGGAAAAGATGTGCAAATTTGTGCGAAATGCTGGCCAAATCGTTTTTACTTTTCTTGACTACGTGAACCTTTTAAAAATCCAAAGATAAATGAAGCTACAGTTAATTGATATTCTTGGTAAGTAATAGCCTATTATTTTTATTGATAAATGAGAGGAAGGAACACAAAAGTCATGATTGGATGATATTGTTGAGTTTTTCCGCCCGTCGGATTTGGCCCAAAATTATCCGTGATGTTATCAAAGAGCAGACAGCCAAAGATATAACAATAATAAGATGTAACAATGTTGAAATAGCATTAATCCCTCAGCTGACAAAAACAAACCATACTGGGTTTCATATTGGCTCACTCGTTATCATCTTCCCACATAAGTTCTACTTTATTGTCCACATAATTTAGAAAGGTTTAAAACGTCATTTAGACAAAGTTAACCTCTAGGTGTCCATTTCCCTTGGTAATTTTCCCTTGCATGCCTAGTGTAAGCTTCCGATAATTGATTTCCAAATTCAATTAAAGTACTTCTAAAAATGAACATAATCGAGACCCATGTGTTCACCAGCGTGGACCAAGGCAATCTCTGCCTTCCGTATTATATCCTTGACATCTTTACTGGCACCTTTTCCTTTTTTTCTCATTAGTGAAACCTTATCAGCGAGTGTTACATATTGCTTGGCAATTTTCAGTTTCTTTCGTGCCTTGTTCAATTTCCACTTTATTTCTGCCACTTTTGTTTTAAATTTGGGTACTTTTTCCAATAGAACAGCGGCTGTTGAGTCTGATTCTTTCCCAGTCCCTGCACCGGAAGATTCAGCCTGCTGAAGCTCTGTTAGAAGTGAACGATTACTGTCTCGTGGTTCAGGTTTGTTTTCTGAAGAGAAAAAGGCAAATCAGATAAGTTGAGTAAACAAGTTTTCTTTATATTTTAAATACTCTATTTCTCTTCAGGAGCCCCATTTCCATCGATAAAACGAACTTCCTAACATCACTTCATTATCTTGTTCCCGTGGGGTTGCTCTGCTGTCTATGCAGAGTCTGGGAAGGGACACAAGTCCCACTTGATGGTACCAAGGCTTACAAAAAGTTCGTTTCTGGAAAGTCTTGGTAACTGTATGGACTTGAAGCCATATAAATAACGAGCTAACCATATAATAAAGTAGTGCAGGTCTTTGCTCAAAAAACAGTACAATCTGTTTCGTTTCCTGATATTTTCACTATTTGGGCTTCAAAACTGTTCATATTTTGATCCTCATTGTAAACACAGCAAACCAAAAACAGCTTTTTGGGACCAGTGCACGCCGGGACTTTGAAGAAACGGCTTCCAGGTTTCACCAAGAAGAGAACACCTCAGAAAAACATAATTTCAGTCAAAAATTCTATCCCCTTTCCTGGTATTTATTTTGGCATGGAAACGAGTTCTTGAGGTGGAGAATACATTATTGGACTATTTGGACACTACTTTCTGACAAACTTAATTGTCTGAATCAACAGGTGTTGTATTGAAGCGTCCTCCAAACACCAGTTCTGTCGAATCCGGTAAATCTTCTACGAGAAATCACTCGGTCGTCATAAATATTCTTCAGTTTTTTAAATAGATTTTATTTAATCACAACTCGCCTTTCAATAACATGTGTTTACCTTGCCGAGATCAAAATTATACGTTTTCCGATGAAAGGTTACTCATTACACAAAGCCTATTCCTTTAGTGGAAATCAAAAGCTAGAAAAGATGAATGATCAAGCATAAGTCAATCAAAGGTTCGCTGCCTTGTGAATTGTAAATTGCAAGAATTCGTTCTATCACGTACCTTTCTTCTTTGGCGCCGCTCCGACCACTGCTACGAGTAGAACTAAAAGAAGTACGCTATTTGAGGTCATCTTTCAGACGAAGAAACAGAGGCTAGAAGAACAAACCAGTAAGATTTGCCGGAGTCTGCGCAGTTCTTAAATCATTAATTACGTTCAACCGTGATTCGTACTTTCCCTGAATGACCACTTAACGTACTGTGTTCCTCATTGTCTCTTTCTGAAGTTGGAGGGGGGAGGGGGGGAAACATTTTACATTTCTTAATTACTAAATATCTCGAAACTGTTAATATTTACTGCACGCAATTGATTTATTTTCGAGTATGACTGTAGAGATTAACATCTACATCTTGTGATTGCTCCATCAAATCAAGATTTTTTTTTTAACCACTAAAAAGGACAAGACTTTGACCATGATCAGAAGCACACAGTCGAGCTTCCTCAAGGTTGATCTCATATTTTAGATAATCATCAATCATTTTAACGCCTCTTATATCTTCTATCCCTAGTAGAGCTTTCACCAGTGAGGAATCAGAACATTGGCACAAGTTTATTGCGAATCTTTGAGTCTAATTCCTGCCTATAAAAGAAAAATAATTTTTTGCAATACTTGAGGTGCATCTGAGTAGTATGCAAACATTCTAACCGACCGTTCTGGAAAAATCATTGCTCCTTACACTCTGGCTACTTAACATTAAGGGAGTTTTTACTTTGTAAAAAACTGATAAAAAAAGATGCTATTTTTGTCCAGAAATGTCACTGTTGAAAGCAGTACGTAGACTCATATAATAAGTACGATAATTAGTCACATTACTGTCCGCAAACAACTATTATTTAGAGAAATATTGCTTTCACAATTTCGTTAAGTACTTATAATCTTCGAATAAGAAACATTTTCCTAACTAACCATCTTGTGATTTGCATTTAAGATAGGCACCGTCTATTAGACATAGCAAGTGTATATTAACTATGTTGTTTCAAGGTACTTCGAGATCCTCACTGCTCACTAAAGAGTCAAAGCTGTCGAATCTATCAATCTCGCCATTTTTCATTACCAAAATCATGTCACAGTCTTTAATGGTGTTCAGTCGATGAGCAATAGTTATTACTGTAGAGTTCTTCAGTTTCTCTCGCACGACTCTCCAAATTACTTGTTCTGTTTCTGGATCCACGTGTGCAGTGGGTTCATCTAAGATGATAACCTTTTTTTGCTGCAAAAGAACACGGGCCAAACAAATTAACTGCCGTTCTCCGGCGCTAAAATTTGCACCGTGTTCTAATAACTCATGATGCAGCTGTCCTTCTAGATTTTCCACCAACCCTTTTAGTTGGACATCTTCCAAGGCTTTCCACAGCTCTAAATCTTGAAACTGATCCACCAGATCAAGATTTCTTCTCAGCGATCCACTGAAAAGAACTGGACTTTGGCCAAGTACAGATATACATCGTCGAGCTTCTTGGAGGTTGATCTCCTTTATTGGAACACCGTCAATAATGACATTCCCATCCGCGTCTGGCATGCGCAGAAAAGCTGCCACCAGGGATGATTTTCCGGCTCCCGTTCTTCCTGCAACGCCAAACTTGGACCCTCCTTTTAATTTAAGATTTATGTTTCTTAGTACTTGCGGTCCCCCTGGATAGTATGTCAAAGACACATTTTCAAATGTCACACCTCCTTCTAGGGGCCAGTTTTCTGGGGGAGGACGCAGCACTTTGTACCCAGGTTCGCAATCAAGTTTCGTATATGTCAAAACACGTTCAACTGACGTCATTGAATTCTCGACATCCGATGTTTTTCTGACAACAAACTGAGCTTGTTCCACAGTCTCGATAACGTATACAAGAGCAAGTCCAGCGAAAGCTGCGGCGGAAAAAAAAGCTGCATCAAAAGCTGGTACTTCATTTCTTAACCCTCAACAGTTTGTAAATATAACCCGATGTAAGTGCCCTAGAACATGGAATGCTGAAGTTAGAAAAAGGAGACCAAAATCAGACATCCTTTAACAAGTCTATGTGTCTTCTTGGCGCATACATTTCTAACAGTTTTGAAGATGAGCATATCAAAATATCTGACATAAACGATTCAACAAATAAAAAATCAACTCTAAAATCAAAGATCAGATGAATTAATCAAGTTTATCCTTGAAATCGAAACTTCTCTCAGAACATCATCTGTTGAACGAAAGTTCGTGGTGATAATTCTTCAATTAAAAGCTAAACTGTGTTTAGCTCAATCGGGGTTTTTGATGGTTTGATGTTGATGGTTTTACAATGATCCATCATTTAGTGATATGACCACACCTACCTGCATCTTGGGAAACTAAAATAGCTGCTAAAGCCACAACACCAGTCAATAAGGAAGAAAGAAGTTCAATGCGCACAGAAAGCCATCTTCCACTGGCCAACACCATGATATACGACTGAGTATGGACATCTTGAAATCTATGAAAGAAATGTTCAGTTAACTGTGATTTTTTTTTTGTTTGCTTTTTTTTATAAATCAGGTTGCACAGCAGGTTATGGTGTGTTTCTAGGTCTAACCATTACCGTGACATAAGAGGTCCTAGATATATTTATTCTAGAAACTACAAGGCAGACTATATCCAAACGCTTAAAAAACTTATCTCTCATTCTCTAAGTGCACGGCTTTACCTCTTCTGCATGCTACTCTCTTTTATAGTTGACAGAAAAAGTATAACACACCTGTAAAACTGTTCTTGAAAATCTTTTTGTCGTCTTCCCGTTCGAATTGTCTCAAGTCCATCCAAGGTCTCCGAAATGTGTGAATACACAGGACTTCGGCATATTGACTCTAACCTTTTGAGCTGTCGTGATGTCTTCAGGTAATAACTAGAGATGTAAAAAACGACTACAGCCAGTGGACAAACGACAAATAGAACCCAAGGGTTTGTGACAATTGGTACCAAAACGGATGAAAGTAGCAGCAGGAAAACTTGGACTGAGAGAAGAAACGTGTCGGGTAACAACTCGTCCAGGCAGCCAACATCCTTGGAAAATCGATTGAGAATTCTTCCAACTGGATTTGAATCAAAGAACAAAACTGGCGCCTTTAATACCGCTGCGACCATTTCATCATGAAGCCGCTCCGAACATCTTAAAGACGCCAAGAGAAATCCATATGCTCTGATAAAGGCAAATATGAAGGATCCAATCACTAGACTGCTATACGATATTAAGCTTATGCTCTTCCTCTGATTTTCGAGACGTTTCTTTGAAAAGAATGACAGCCATACGTCAGGAGCAACGATCATCCCTATGATAAAAGAAAAAAGTAAGAATTAACATTTGGTCAACCGGTAGATGAAAGAAGGTTTAAAACATTGAGATCAAAGCAAGAATATTGAATACGACAACTTTCTTATATCACTTTGTATATAATATGAATCTTACCTTGAGTAATCACACATAAAAGAAATAAAGAAAATATTGCTAACGAGTGCAATCCGCTTCTGAAATATTCCCAGTAGGTCTTTAAAGTCACTTCTCCGATTGTGCGATCTTCCTCCGAAATAACGAGATCCTTGATATGTTTTCCTTTTGTCGCACTTTTGTCCATGACATCTGGTTTCTCTTTGTCCTTCGAAATTGAGCTCAAATCCGACTCGCTGTCTCTGTTGGACTTTATTTGTAGCGGATCAAGAACTGTGGCAAGACTACCCTTTTTCTGGAGCTCAATGTAACTTCCCTTCTCCAACACCCGACCCTTTTGTAATATAATTACTTCATCAGCAACTTTCATATGTTCCTCTTGATGAGTTGACAATACTCGTGTTTTGTTACCCAAGACTAGTGGGTCTAGAAAGCAGCTTTCAAAAATGTGTTGTCCAACTTTTATGTCCACGGCACTGAGAGGGTCATCCAACAAGTACAGGTCTGCGTCCATGTATACTGCTCTTGCCAAGCTCACTCTTGCACGTTGACCTCCACTCAAAACGGCGCCCCGCTCACCTACAATTGTGTGGTCACCGTTTGGAAACATCTGGAAATCTTCTGTAAGAGAACATGCCTCAATAATTTTGGAGTATTTGGTTTCGTCGTAAGGTAGACCGAATAAAATGTTTTGTCTTATGGTTCCAGAGAAGACCCATGGCGTTTGGGAAATATATGCAAGTGAACCTTGAAAAGTTATATCACCGCTGATATCTGATATTTCGCCAGCCATAGCTAACAGAAGAGTAGATTTTCCACTTCCCACGGGTCCTGTGATGATTGTTAAACTTTTTGGCGCTGCAGTGAATTCTACATCCTGCAGAGAAAACTCTTCCCTTTGATCACTTTGGGAACACGAAAGACCTGACACAAGAAGAGACTCCTTCCCAGGTTCTTTCTCGTCAACGGTGGAGGCTTTGTCCGATTTTCTCTGTTTATCTGAGAGTCTGTTCGATCTCGATGTTTCCTTTATCAAGTTACCATCAGAGATCCCGTGCAACTCATCTAAAAGCAGAAACTCTTCGATTCTTTGAAGTGACGCATAAGCTTCGTATGTTTCCAGGGAACCATAGGCTTGGTAATAGCAAATACTTGTTATTAGTGTATTGATATAAGGAAGAAGCATGAAGAGATTAACAGGTGTGATTGGTCGACCAGTTAGCACCATTGTAATGACTACCACCAGAACTGTCAATGGCACTGAAGTGTACTGTAAGGCAGCAACCCCTGCTAGAACAGCACTCTTCTTTCGAATGATACTCATTTCCTCGCTAAAAAATGAAACAGATTATACAAACTAATTTCTCTGCAAATGAAATGTCGATAGTTTGATGAACCACTTCACACATTTTGACAAGAAAGAAAGGTATGTTCGATTAATCAGACTCACGTTGTTGAACGAGAACAGGAAAATAGTTACCTCGATGTCTAAGTACTCTGACAAGTCCACACATGTCCGAGAGAATAAAGTAAGGACGCGTGAAAACCTTTTTCTGCATAATCTTTCTTTCAGGCACTTGTGTACGATTAACCAAAATTTATTTCTTATTTACCTTCGAAGGTGCCTTATCATGTCCTGGTACTCATCCTCCCATGCGTGCGTTTTTATGGCGCGAATCCCAGAAACCACCTGGTTCATCAAGGAAATACGCTGATCAGAAACAGCTGCTGTACGCAAGCGCAGTGCAGCACTGACATAGGACAACATCCCAAAATATGGTACGA